GGGGGGGGGGGGGACTGATTAACAAGAGTACTCAGATAGATTCGTTTGACAACAACTCCCAGCCCTTACAGGTCAATAAGAGACTTAGTTAACTATCTCAAAGTGCTCATATATAACACCACTCCGTTTCCAGTGCTTTAAACACTCGACTTTCTCGATGGTTTCAGCCCCCAGCTGCCCCCTTTCTCACGAGATCGTCCGTCGCTCATGGCTGGAATTGACAGGTGTCGAACAATGAATGCCAAGAGAATATGAATTGAATGCCCGGTCTATCTAGCAACTGGTCCTGTCAGGTTACTGGTATTTATACACGTTTGTTTGACCTCTTTTCTTCTCCTCTTCCTCCCCCTATATCATACATAGGAGTGATAACCCCTTTTCCTAGAAAAGGGCTCTTGCTACTGTCCAACCGTTCAACAACAGGATATCAATTGCCATATACGATAGCAGATAGATGCTGTGGTTGTTTCGTTGTTGCTGCTCTAGCCAGGCTCGAGGTGTTTTCAACATCGGTCTCATGATTTGACTTCAGATGGACTCGCATATTTGTAGTAACCGGGTACGGCTCCATCTCGCAGTGTACTTAGGCTCTTCATCACGTGCTTCGCAGGCGTGGGCCCATGTTGTATAAGCTGACTTACTCATTTTCGGCCTTATTTCAATCGGGTCTAAGGTAGGTGAAGGTAAGAGAAGGGATGGATTTACTTCAGAATCCATATTTTGTACGATGGAGTAAGAAAAGGTGGAAATCGAATAGATATCCTGAGCACTTTGGAGAGGATGTTCACGAACGAATAATGGTAGTGACCACGCCATAAGTGAGGGTCGGGCAGTTCAAAGTGCGTATACGGACTGAGCCGCTCAAAGTCGACGTCCATATACTAGAGATTTGAGGTACCTCGCCATCCACCGGACAACGCCCGCGCAGCTAGGCTCAATTGGTGCTTAGACAGTTCGAAACCCGCTCTCCCGGCTCGCCCTCCCGAGACACTCCCAAACAGGGCAAATGCTTTGGCTGACGGACGGAAAATATCCGCATAGAGTCTGATACCCGTCTCGCATCGACCGAGAGGCGGATTGTGGCGCGCCATGGCTTTCAAATGGGATCAGTAATGACTTTTCGTCTTGTTAAGATGACACCGCCAAAAAAAATTCGCCTTTCAAGCCTTATCCCAACTCTTTAAGCGAATGAGCCATGGACTTGTCAGTCTGCCTACTAAGCAAAGACCGATACTACGGCGGTGGGGTTTTTCTCAATCTATCAAACCATAGTAGTCATAGGCGATGGGCTAAACACATTGGTTCGAAGTATCCACGAACCCGGTACACTATAGTTTCGGCTTCCGTATATAGAAACATGCTCGAAAACGAAGAATCCGATCATGCTCTTAGATTGTCGGATTCAACTATATGTGTTATTTCCGTCAGATGCCGATCCAAGAGGACCCTCGCAAGATTTGGAATTCAGGCCATTGGTTGGCCTTCTCTAACATGCTTTTTTGGGCGTTTCGGGATGCCGAACCGGCCCGCCGTTTCCCCAAAACCATGGGCCCTGCGTGAAAGAATGATTCTCCGTATCGGGAAGCCGGAAAAGTGTACCACGTGAATAACCCGTGTACTTTTGTGGGACACCATCAAATCTCTACTAATGATATTCCTTCCCCAACCACAAATTTCTCAAGGTAGCAATCTCCCTTCTCGTTGCTGGGCGCTTTTTCTCTATCAGACAGTGACAATGTCCGAGTTGAAGGAGCCAGTGAGCCTTGCCCACTATATTTGGACCCGAATACATCAACTTGGCGTTCGTTCTGTGCACGGGGTTCCTGGGGACTACAATTTAAATCTTCTGGACAATATTTCATCAACAGGTCTCCGGTGGGTTGGAAGCTGCAATGAGCTCAACGGGGGTGAGATGACCGTGGTAGCCTCGAACGAACGCATGACTAATTATGACGATTGTAGGATATGCCACGGACGGCTATGGGCGAGTAAAGGGAATTGGGGTCCTGGTGACTACCGGCGGCGTCGGTGAGTTATCAGCGATAAATGCACATGCTGGTGCGTACTCAGAGCAAGTATCTCTGGTGCATATCGTTGGATCACCTCCTTTAAGTATCCGGGCGAACAAACGATTTTGCATGCATCACAGCCTCGGAAATCATGAATATGATACTTTTAAGAACATGTTCAAGACAATCTCCGTTGCTCATGTAACTCTTGCCGACGTTTCAAGCGCCCCCGCGCAGATCGACTGTGCTCTAAGGCAGTCATGGGTAGCAAGCAGACCTGTCTACATTGACGTCCCTTCTGACATGGGCAAAAGAGATATTGAGGGTGCAGGGTTAGCAACTCCCTTAGAACTATCTTATCCCGTAAATCCCCCAGAGGGACAGCAAGAAATTTTGGCCAAGTTACAAGAGCGACTTCATGTTGCAAAAAGGCCGTGCATATTGATCGATCTATGCGCCACACGGCAACGAGTCAGTCCCCCTTCCCTCCTTCTCGTTGTCCTTGAAATTCGCAGATTCACACTGACATATGCTTGCGAAAACAAACTATAGATTACAAAGGAAGTGCATCAACTAATTGCCAAATCGCGCCTACCTACTTTTGTCACCCCTCTGGCACAAGGATTCGTCGACGAATCCCTACCCAATTTCGGAGGTCTCTACGCAGGGTATGGTTCAGCGCCAGGAGTACGAGACTTCGTTGAGAGCTCCGACCTTATCCTTCACCTTGGCCCTCTTGACACCGATGTCACCACGTATCTCGGATCGGCCAACCTGAACAAGTCCTCTGTGGTCAGATTCCTTACAGATCAAGTTGAGATGGACGACACGCAGTATCAATTGCTCCACATGAGACCGCTCTTGCTGGCAGCAATCGTTGATCTAGACTTTTCCAAGGTCTCTGTCGAATCATTCAACCCGCCGTCCCCAAATGGCTTCCTCTCGACAACTGGTGGCAGTTCGCTCATAAGTCAGGATTGGTTGTGGCCCTACATAAGTAGCTGGTTGGAACCTGAAGATATTATCCTAACCGATACCGGCACTGCAAGCTTTGGCATATTTAACACGAGGCTTCCGCCCAGGAGTTTATTAATCAATATCAGTCTCTGGGCGAGCATTGGGTATTCGCTTCCAAGCGCACAGGGCGCCGCCTTGGCGGCCCAAGACGACGGATCCAATCGAAGAACAATACTATTTCAAGGGGACGGCAGTTTTCAGTTGACGTGTCAAGAGATAAGTACCATGATAAAGCACCGTTTGCGAGTGATAATGTAAGTCTCGTCCTGATGTCGTTTCTGAGACGGTACAGTAGGACGAGCAGCTGAGGAGCCCTTAGGTTTATTATTTGCAACAACGGATACACCATTGAACGAGTGGTGCACGAGACCAATGAGGACTACAACGACGTTTCCAACTGGAATTACAAAGAAATTCTACGCGTGTTCGATTCGAAGTCGCTGTGTAGTCGATCCTATCAAGTCCGGACTCAGGATGAATTGACAAATTTGTTGGCGGACAAAGAATTCTCAAGCTACAAAGGGGTCCAGGCAAGTAAACAATAAGGCGGTATGAACGGTGGCTGACTGAACAATGTCAAGTTGGTTGAACTACATATCCCCGAACTCGACGTCCCCGCTCCTCTGAGGCGACTTGCGGAGTTGATCACGGCGAGATAAGCGCGTGTGTGTTGGAGCAAGACAAACGATGGGAAGGATCGAGTGTAGATATCGCTGTCGAAGAAAATTTTCAAGCCACCCGTTCTCGCCGTCAACCCGACAAAACTAGCCTACACTTGGGGGTCCGCATGGGAATACGTGCTACCACCAGGTCCTCGTCAAAGTGATGAGCTAACCAACCCCATCCACAAAATACACCGCCAAGGAGGAATCCAATAAGCGGGCGTAACAACAATAAGTCTTCCTAATATATGTTGAACAAACACTGTTACAGCATCGGGCATGGACATTGATATGGAACGGTGATAGTGCTAGAGTACACATTGATAGAGTAGACATCAAGTCCATCCTGCCTGCTCGTTCCCCGCCATGGTATCACCTTTCTGAAAGGGTTCAAAAATGCCCCACATAGGACCGGTTTGTTCTATGTCATCCCATAAATTCGCTGAAAAGTCCATCATCACATCAACAGACCCGGTATATTCACCCCCCGAGAGAGCAAAGTCTTCAAGGACACTGGGATCATACAGATGTGCAAGAGCCCCTGCCTTGTCCCAACCGGGCAATGACTGGTTCAGAATTGTTGTCAGATAATTGTCATTCCTGGTTTCAAGTGCGCTGGATGCTTGTGGAATCCATTCCTGGCCCATATTTTGCCTCTGTCGAAGCCCCTGCTGATGTATCTTGGCCACCGTAAGCATCTCTTTTGTCAGCTCTGCACATCTTCGAGCAACCACCACTTGTCTCATGGCGCTGAAAATTTCCAGGCTTTTCTCAACGTCGCTGATGAGCTCTTCGCCGCGAATAGTGGGATAATCCACAAGTATGAGATACAGAACGATCATGCTGGCGTAGAGAGTATATGTCGTACAATACCACCTAAGTATGGTGAGCGAGGATATAATCGATGGGCCTACCACATACCAGGTACGAAGATACATCCTATTTATGAATGCATTGTGGATCAATTGTATCGTTTTTCGTGCCGCGTCGAGGCAGATATCGACATGCTGCGAGAATTCCGATACATGGTGGCCGGGATACGACGCGACAATGAAAGGTCGGTTGATTAGGATCCGGGCGTTGTAGAATCCTGCCATCTTAGTTTTGTTGACCGAGATCTGGTCGGGCTCTTACGCATTTTCAAGACCACCTTCTGCTTGTAAGCCCACAGAGCATCATCCAGGGACTCAACGTCGAAGTTCAGAAAAGTCGGTAGGTTCGCTTTCCAGAGTGCTAATTCTTCATTCAGTTTCAGGCCCATTTGCGATAGCTCACTCATCGGCCGGTCTTCCGAATTGCAATAGAGATCCACAGAGACTTTCTTGAGAATGCGAGAGAGGTCAACCATGACGCGAATAATCGCAATATCGGGGTTCTCGTTGCCATCAACCTGGTCTTAATTAGCCTTTCTAATGTCCAATATTTCTAGAGGGCCCTTACCGTCCATTCGGGCATTGGCAGGGAGTAGAGATCTGGAGGCATGAGGGAATCTAGCCGTCCGGACGAGGTACACATTTCTCTGCACATTAATTAGCAACATTCCACATGATCAAGCGTGCTTCATCGTTATTACATTTCATGTGAGTAGATGCACCTAGAGTCAAGTCAGGGAATGAACGTGTACAATCAACACCCGATATTGAGGGAGATCGTGGTGTCAAGAAAGACCTACCACCATGTGCGTTTGTTCTCTTCTGTACATGTCTTGCGAGAGTTGTTTGCCAGTCCTATTGCTATGGCCGTTCGCACAGCATGACCACTGTACATGTAGCACGCATGTGGTTTGAGCGCATTTTGGCAGAACACGGTCTGTACCCTCGAGTCAGCGACATTCACAACGATGCTGTGCCATTGGAACAACCATCAAGAACAAGGTTTGGCACGTCTCCAGTGAGGATATTTCCATAGTGTCACTTAATGTTTGCTTTGCCAGTCCAAAATAATGACTGGCCCATTCCAATGTGGACCGCTTGGTTGTTGGTGGCCCCGGCCGATCATCCTCATTATCAGGTGGAGAGTATTGTGCGAGAGACGAAGTCTGTTCGACGCCACAATTAATAGCTCCGAGCGCCACGACGGCGTAGTAGAGTGCCAGAAATTGCGTTCGGCGCCCAAGAGGTGAAGCGGTCGGCCGGTCGGTCCAGATATCTCGGACACATCTCTCCCTGAAAGACTTTTCCGTGAGCATAGGATGAATATAATGTTTATTGTGGAAGTATGCGTCGACAAAAATTTTCTCAACCTCAAATGTCTCAAAATTTTTTCCCACATTCGATTGGGTACGCGAAGCCGACGACGGATACCGTGCTATTAGGCTGGGAACCGACGGTGCAATAGGCGGTGCGTTAGCACCAATTTGCCCCGGAGTCGAATGATTGGTTCTGATGCTTGGAGTTCCAATTGAAGCATTCGGGGTGCTGGTAACGTCTTTTTGGGACCGTGTTGCTCCGTTGACGGGTGAATGATAGTCAATACTGTACATGAGGTCTACGAGCGACGACCTGTTGTCGTTAAGGTGGCGTAGCTCGGAGGTGGCATCCTGCACGGAGGAAGCATCATTTCTCACGTTGACAGAGGGGCCATCATGAGATAGCGTGGTAACACGTTTGCGAGCTTTTGAAAATAGTCTAGCGAGAAATGCCAGGTTCGAAGAGCTACCGTAAAATTCGGTCCCACTGGTATGAGTGTTGACTCCGGCCAGTCTAGGTGTACCAATATTGCTGACCTGACCTGTTGGGGAACGAACAGTTTTGTCAACCACTCGTTCCCCATCAGAGTGATGAGAGGATTATCGTACCTTCTTGCATGCGCTGCTCCAGGACCTCTTCATCTTCCCAGGCTACAGATTGCTTATCCTGAGAAGGGCTAGCGATGGTACCCGGGCTCTGACGTCCGCTCGACACCGAGAGTGGTTGGATAATTTCCCTATTATCATTATCTTTCGACTCTCCAGGTTGGGATTCCCGAGCCTCCAGCTGACGTTGTCGGATTTGACGAAGCTTGGGCCGTTTATTTACACTTTTGATCCGTTAACAAAACACCGAGTCAGTACTATGGAAACCGCAAATAGGTCCTTGTTAAGAAGATATGGTGAAATGTGAACGCATCAGGAATCATTAGGAATACGCACCCTGTCAATGCCGAATCCTGGGAAGTCTCTCTCTCTCCATTCTTTCGCCTGCGCACAGCGCCAGCTGGTCTGTAAACGCATCTCAAGGAGTAGTCTGTTCACACAACGGATGAGCCTCTGCAAGGAAAATCGTGATGCATGGCAGTGGTCGCCAATGTGCCGTGAGTTACCTACATGAGCAGTGAGAGCATGGACATTGCTGATCGCACTGGATGAGGAAATTGTCAGCCAATTCAATGATTACGCTCCGTGACCATGTGAAAAGGACCTCCAATGCGTGACCGAAACTCCCAGGCCGAAGAATGCACATATCGTATTTGAGCGTAAACAGAACGAAAAAATGGGTCCTTACTTTGGTTTTTCGATGTCGACACATTTCACAGGCCCGCGATGCGTGCGTTCGCCGCCTAGGTCGCGTTGGGCCGTTCCCGGGACCTCCAAATTCAGGCCAAGGTGGTGGAAAAGAGCCTGAGCTACCGGGTGATGGAACAGGCTCTGTGGTACGGCCGAAGTCCTGTGAAGCTGTCATTGGGAATGAGGCGTACGAATTTAATAAGGACAAGATGATGATATGGCAGCATTGATTGCTATCAAGCTCTGCAAGATGATAAAAAACCACGTAATGGAAGACGTGCGAATAAAACTCAGGGCTTCGGGGGCTTCGCCCAACGACGGGCAAGAAATTAAGCTGCAGCCTCCACAAGGTTTAGGGACCCTAGAGTACATGAATTGTGCTTAAAGACTCCACCAAAATTTGAAAAGGTGAGGGGTACGAGAGATGCCATACAAATTATCTATTGTTTCTGCCAAAGCCCCTCTTCTTTTGCATTTTGCATTATCAAATACACTGGTAGATATGCCCCACGAAAACTATACCCTCGTACAGATACGAAAAGTGCGAAAACCTCTTCAAAGCAGATTAAAATACCATCCCCCGCCCCCCGTCCTTACTACATTCTTGAGCCCCAGTGTCCCACGGGGTTGGGTTCTCAGATAGCGGGTTAATTCCGCCAGCAAAGATCAACGCAAGGACCACTGATTGGCAAGAACCATCCGCCGGGAAAATAGAGCCAATAGTATCGATCCATCAAACCTGGAACTAGTAATCTTCCAACAAAGGTGAAATGATTGGTCACAGTCGTTCACATCTTCGTGTCAGAACTGTTCACAAATGGATCTTTTGCTGCTGCTCCGAGGCCCTGACGGTATGATTGTTTCAAGCAGAGGGTGAGTTTCCAAGCGACGCTTTCACACTGCTAATGTAAAATGCAAACTTTGCAATGCAAATGGAACGAGCGGACGAAGGTGCGAGAGATCGGAAACGATGCTTTTCCTCAACAAAAATGCTGGTGTAACCGTATAAGCGCCGGAAAGCGTGCGTGAAAGCTCAAGAGTGACCATTTGACGCTGGATATTGCAGTTGATCCGCTATTACTGGTCATTTTTGGACTTACCGCTGAAACGGCCCGCATTGACCTAGGTATCGAAGAGGAAGACTTCACCGACGCCTTGCGCAGGCATAAACCTGCACAAGAGTTCCATGGGACTGTTCACGACTTGGTGAACATCTGGCAAATTTTAGTCTTGACTTTGCCCCCGTTGGGTGTCGGTAACAGCAATTCTGCCATTGAAAATGTACTCCTTCGGGGTCAGTCGTCTCGAACTAGGTCTCTGGTTGTTACATGCAAAGTTCTCAGGAGTTCATCGAGTCTCAGTTATCGATGATCTTCTTTACTCATTGCGGACATGCTGGCCAGCGGCAATGCGTATAGCCGGGCCTTTATTGTCTCAGACGCTCGAGTCATTCCATCCGGACAATGTAAGAAAGGGTGAATGGAATGCAAGAAATAATTCCTAGAACCAGAGTATGGCTTAGCGTCAGGAGCAGGTAGCTCTCCCGCATTGTGAGCGGACTTGACATTTGTATTCGTGAAGAAAAGGTTGGTCAGATATTTAGATAGGCTGCGTCAAGCACAGAGACATGAGACATGATCTGCTGAATCCATGAGATCGTGAAAAATGCCGCGCCACAGGTAGATCCGTAAATATGGGGGGATGTATGCGGAAGAAGAACAATCCACACCACGTAGAGATCATTACTATCAGTTGAGGATTGAAACCTGGCAGTTTCACTTGATCTAGATAGTACAGGACTTGGCCATGGTCTGCTATGGGTAAATCGTGTCAAATTCGCAATAAGACGAACCGAAGGGCGTTAAGTACAATAGAGCAAGTGGAGCTTTTTATTGATCTATCTTTATAATCAACTTGCCTGTTGTCTTTTGTCCTGTCAAGTCATCCTGGGCTTGACCAGCTTTGTCGAGCGTGTATTCAGCCCCTATAGGAACCGAGATGATATTCTTGCCAACCAAGTCGAGTAACTGCTGTGTTCTTTCAACGAACTCGTCTCTTTCGTAGATATACTTCGCCAACGTTGGACGAACAAGCTTGACGTTGTTCTTACTTAGTTCCAGGATCTTGAAGTCCACCACCGGTCCGCTGCTATTTCCATAAGAAACAAGAGTGCCTTTTCTTCGTGTTGCCGCAAGATCAGCTGCAAAGGTGGACTTGCCAATGCCACTTAGGACGGCATGACATCCCTTGCCGTCTGTGAGGCGTAAAACCTCTGACAACACGTCTTGCTCTTTGTAGATGATAATATGGTCGCAGCCGTGTTTCTTGGCTATCTCCGCCTTCTGCGTTGTTGATACCGTTCCTATTACAACCGCCCCCAAATGCTTGCACATCTGTACCAAGAGTCCTCCCGTACCCCCAGCCGCTGCTTGAACCAGTATTACCTGTCCCTTTTGAACGTCGTGAGCATCCCGTACAAGAGTCCATGCTGTCAGACCTTGGAGCATCACTGCAGCACCAATTCGAGTGGTCATAGAAGATGGTAGTTTCATGACCGACCCTGCTGGAGCAGCGACATACTGTGCCAATGTACCTTGCGCAAAAACCGCCACACGGTCTCCCACCTCAAGGCCAAAAGAACTCGGGACTTTGGTACCCAACTCAACAATGGTCCCGGCTCCCTCTCGCCCGCCCACTGCTGGTAGATTGATAGGATACAGCCCACTACGCAGATAAGTATCAACAAAGTTGACCCCGGCATAGTCCAATTTGATCAGTACTTCGTCGTCTGCAGGTGCGGGAACAGGGACGTTGTCCTCAAGGTGGAGAACTGAAGAGTCGCCTGTCGCGTGAAAGCGGACGGCTTTCATGGTTGTAGGCGCAGCCATGTTGTCGTGGAAGTGACAGAAGCGGTTGTGAATAGATCACGTACTTTTCTTCGCTGGGGGAGAGAACGCTTCCAAGTGATAGACTGTGGAGTCAAGAGAAGAGATGAAGGAATGTGTTGTTGTTCTATCTAACTAGAGAGTGGGAAGTCGCGACATTACTAAGCCAAATCTATCACGTGACAACGCCAAGCAAACATGTCACGTGGTTAGCCAACACCAACGTCTACGGCTGTGTGGTGTCGAAACGAGCGTCCCAAAATATCTGTCAAGCATTCGGGCTTATTTTCCTGAGAGTAAATTCTTCTGTCGGCATGGGAATTCGGAACATTGGGAGTTTGACACACTTTCAGCCCATGTGCCTCGTACAAAGGCAACATCAGGATGATGCACCAATGGCTTGGATTCATGAGATGAGAATGTTTGGTTCTTGACACCTTCCGATGCAGGAAGCAAAATCCGTCGGACATAATTTTATTTTCACGCCAGAACGGATTAAACACACCAATAGGAATGTAATGTTGGGTCTTGTCATTCCCGTTTGGGTCCCGCGGTGTATAGAAGTTGAGCGGGTCCTCGGCAATTCCCGTGATGTGCGATTGTGGAGCCATAGAGGAAACGAAACATGGGCTCAATTGCCACCATTCGGGTTGGCAATGATATATAGGGCATTGAATATATAAAGTGAAATCATTCAAAATCAGAAAACATTTCATTAACTTTCCATTACGGAGTATTTGAACCACCATAATGGGCTCCGTTGCGACAGATGAACACAAGACCACTCGCGACCCAGATTTGAGCGCCAAAGCTCGTAGAAAATGGGAAGCAGAACCTGTCAATGAACATGTGCCACCACCGGTCCGGGATCTCACAATCGAAAACATCACGCCCAATGTCGTCGCCGTGAACTCCAATGTCAAAGATAACCCGAGACTACAGTACATTATTACCAAGCTTATCCAAGTTTCTCATGACTTCATCAGAGATGTCAATCTTAACTTTGACGAATGGACAACAGCTTGGCAGTTCTTGACGAAGGTAAAAGTGCCATTGATTCCTATGTTCTTCGGTCATACTAATCTTTCTGTGTCAAGGTCGGACAAATTTCGGACGACGTTCGACACGAGATGGTGCTTCTTTCTGATATCCTGGGTATATCAGCTCTTGTTGATGCCATTTCATATCCGCACATACCGGGCTCAACTGAGTCATCGATCCTGGGACCTTTCCACGATGAGGTCGGACAACTTGTTGAGAACGGCTCCGCCATCATCAAGGAAGATACCTTCGGTGAGGCCACTCTCGTCAGAGGACAAGTTCGTTCCACAAGTGGAGTGCCTGTGAAAAAGGCCCTGCTCGATGTTTGGGAGACAGATGGTCATGGTGTTTATGACCTTGAGTATGCGGAGAAGGAAGGCCCGGACTGCCGCGGCAAGCTTTACACGGATGATGAGGGCAAGTACGCATTCACATGTGTGAGGCCAATTCCATATCCAATCTCCAATGATGGGCCTGTTGGCGAATTGCTGCGCACGCTGAATCGACATTGGTACCGACCAGCTCACATGGTACGTTTAGAAGGGTGACATCCTTGTTGCGGCCCTGTGGAAGCTGACCTCTGCGCTTAGCATTTCTTGATCCTACATCCAGACTACAACAAGCTCATCACGGCACTTTATTCAAGAGACAGCAAATACATTGAGAGTGATACTGTCTTCGGAGTCAAGTCAAGCTTGATGGTCGACTATGTGTTTACGGAGGATTCAGAGCTGGCACGGCGATATGGCCTGAAAACCTTCAAGAAGGAGGTCGATGGGAAAGAACGAGAAGGATTTTGGCTGTTGGAGTTCGACTTTATTCTTACCGAAAAGCAGGACCCTCCTCCACCGAAATTGCACGATTAGATGGCAAATACTCTTTTGAACAGCATGGAACATATTTGGACCATTGGATGTGACGTTCCATATCTATCTGGGCGGGAAAGATAGAGATCTGCGTCACTATACTCAAAATTGTTTGTCTGAATATATTTGAAGTTGCCTGGAAAAGTTCCTTTCAATATCGACCCATGTCTAAACCCACCGAAAACACCAGGGTTCTGAGCTATGGAGTTATCTATCAACGCAAATAAGTTCATCGTGTGACTAGCGTAGCACGGTGAGAACGAGTTCGTAGACCTAACTTGAGTCTGGTCGATATGCTCAATAACATTGTACTATATCAGAAACTGCAAAATTTCCTCTCAGAAATCGTATATTCTTATCGAGAAATGAAGTTGAGTTCCGATTCAACTGTGAAATGCTCTGAAACCCATATTCAAATTCTGAACAATATGGGCTATAATCTTGTTAAGGTTGAATGCTTTTTTTTGAGGGGGTATTTCCCGTGGCAGGACGGCGGCAGGTACGGCCTCGGGGGGCCCTTCAGACCGATGAGAGATCATTGATAGCTTGCAGTTACAGAAAAGCGTCTCAACGGCTTGAAGGTCGTAAACTGATCCGGATACATACGGCTCGATTGTTGTCCATGCCGTTCCGCTTGGATTCCTGGAACAACGTAAACATCGGATACGAAGAATATCGGTGCGCATTACCCGAGCCAAAGTTCCTGAGACATGGATCAGGGTGCTCCATGGATAGCCTTTTGACATACCATGGCCGGAAAGTTTCTCAGTGTGGTTTCGGAGGACTTCGTTGTGAAAACTCTCTTTCTCCGCTTATTCAGAGGTATCTAAAACCGGGGAGAGCCATGCTCGGATTTTCAGGAAGGAGGATTCGTGCGACTAAGGAATTACTGGCTGGCTAGCTAAGCAAGCGAATCCCGCATCCGACGGATATATTCATATGGACTGAGGCGGCGGCATTGGTGCTTTTACACAGATGTGGGTCACGGCTTTTCTTGCCACCGAGTAGCCGTAGAGAGGATAGTGACCTTTCGAGCGACCATATGCATGGCTCGTGTCTCATAAGATTTAACGTTGAATGGTCCCGGCTCGATGAAGACCATGTTAATCAAAGTGCCTTTCACGAATTCAAGGATGTGTGACCAAGCTTTTGATTTTCTAGAGATTCATCGCAAATGCTGAAGAGAAAAATGTGTCCCTCAGGAACCGGCCAGCCGCTGCGAAATGCAGACCATCTGCGGACAAGATTTTCTCAGGCAATGTCCGACATGTATAAGAAAGAAGTTCCGCTTTATGCTGATTTGCTGTCCATTGTTGCTGAAGTGGATGACAAGGTACGGATGGCAGGAAACGGGGGAGACCAAATGTGCTCACGATAATAGGTTTCCAAGGAAAAGTTGCCAGCCAGGCACCGAATCGAGAGGCATGGAGCCATACGGCTGGGGACGGCCAAAGAGCTTAGGACAATTGCAAGAATGTTCGCTCTCTTCAATATGCACCCTGTTGGATACTACGACCTCAGCCTCGTCGGATTTCCATTGCACGCAACAGCGTTTAGACCGTTGACAAGCTCTGCACTGGCCAAGAACCCCTTCAGGGTCTTTACCAGCCTCCTGAGACTCGATCTGCTCCCTCATGACACCAGACTTCTTGCAGAGAAGACCCTCTCAAAACGAAACATATTTTCAGACAGGCTTATTGAGTTGATTGAACAAGTCGAAACTCAAGGCCTGTTGACGGAAGAAGATGAGTCTGCATTGCTGACAGAGGCGTTAAAGGTCTTCCGTTGGCATTCTACCGCGATTGTATCTCATGAAGCGTATATTGAAATGAATTCAGTTCACCCAATGGTTGCCGATATCACAAGTTTCCCAAGTGCACATATCAATCACCTGACTCCTCGGACACTAGACATCGATCTCGTTCAAGAGACAATGGAAAAGAGAGGATTGCCAGCCAAGGAAAGAATTGAGGGTCCGCCACGACGGGATTGTGGAATACTACTGAGACAAACCAGTTTCAAAGCACTGGAAGAACAAGTGAGGTTTGTCGATAGTGACGGCAATATTGTAGATGGTCGCCATACAGCGCGATTCGGTGAAGTCGAGCAACGTGGCGCGGCCGTGACAGACAAAGGCCGAAAACTATACGACACTTTGCTGGAAAAGACCAATGCCATCGTCAAAAAGAATGGCACCAAAGAAGAAGACTATCAGAAGGTTCTTCGCGACACTTTTGCAGAATATCCCGATACATGGTCTGAGCTACGTTCGCAGAAACTTGTGTTCTTCGAATACCGGCTCACAGAGACAGCAAGACCGTCGGAGGAAAGCACACAAACACTGTCCGACCTCATAGAGAAAGGACTTGTGGAGTTCACGCCTATCGTGTACGAGGACTTCCTGCCCATTTCAGCGGCCGGTATCTTCACTTCCAATCTCAAAGACTTCTCAAACAAAGAGACTCAGTGTGCCAAGGGGAATCGAGCACTTCTCGAAGAATGTTTGGGTCACGCCGTCCAGGAACCAACTAGGCTATACGAACAAATGGAGGCGGAAAGCTTGGACAAGTGTCGTAGAGGACTGGAATTGGCGCATATTCAGGTAGAATAGATAATGAAACTGATTTCAACTTTGTTGCTGGCATGCTATTTCGGAGCTCCTCCATTTTTTTTGCAACCGCTCAAGATGTCACAAAGACCAAAATGTTTAGCAAACATTCCAGTGTAGCCGCAGCATGCATTACAATCCCTTGCAAACCGGCTTCATCCCAACTGAAGCTCAAAATATTCTCCGCCCTAGACGTTGACATGGGCCGGGTTGACCCGCCGGGTTCTGGGTCGGGTTGGGCTTTGGGGCGGGTTTTGGGCTATTATTCTTTTGACCCAAAACCCTGTAGGTGTGAGGGTTCTAGGGGGAGGATCCAATCAACGTATTCCAGCCGACACCTAGTTCTAGCTACAAGACGTAGCACGAAGAGAGTCAAGATAGAATGCTACGCAGGAAGTGCTGAAAGGGAGGTGTTGGTCTATACACCACCTTTGGATATTCTGTACACCCCCCAAGAACGCCACAAACACTGCGTAAAAGACTCGTATTTTTCTATACTGTGTGCAGAAATGCTCATCTAGTAAGCAAAAGTCTTTTCAGCTTTCAAAATCGCTCATATTGTAGAGGGGCGCTACGTGCATGGATTATGTAAGGGGAAAGCAGACATGGGTGGGTAGAAAGTTGAGGAGTGCATCGAACCTTTGTTAGTTGGTTTTCCAACGACACACACATACACGCGAAGAGACACAGAATATAGAGAAATGAAGCAATTAGAGCTCTGTGTGTAGTTGCTTAACGATCCTGACGACGACGTCCTCCCTGCGTGACAGGCGCTCAAGTGCTAAACCGTTTGTTGAACTTCGTGGATTGAACGAGTGCTCTGGCTCTCCTCATGAATGGAGGATAGAGCCCATCTATATATCTATCTAACGAGCGTACGTCACCATTGCTGCCCGTCAATGGTGATACAGCCTATTGAGCGAGTGTTGCAAAATGTCCTAGTCTGTTGTAAATGATCGGATAGCATTTGTTCAATGCTATTGTCCAACACCGTTCATCACCTTTACAATATATGCCCCGCTATTCTAGATATCATCAATATGAGCACCTGGTCAAGCTCTCAAGCCTCCCAGGCAAAGTCTGTTACAACGGAAGAAGAGCCAAAAGATATAAGTATGTTTGAGCTGCTCCGGTGGCTAGAGAAAACGTTCCCGAAGGAGTGCGAAGAGAAGATAAAATATATGACGACTTTGGACGAGATACACCAGTGGTTAGAGAAAAACCACCCGGAAGAGGTCAAAAGGTTGTTTCTGAGTCGAGCCAACAAGGGAACAACCAATGTCGCCTTCGTACGTTCCCCCTCTCAGTCAAGTGTTGTCCTTCGTGCTCTGCAAAAAGACTGGAACAACGCCTATTTTCCGCACTCCCTAGTTGCGCTACGGGACCTCATTCGGCGATACCAGCTGCTCGATGTGAGCAAATATTACGCAAAGACCTTAGTATTCGTTCAGAGCAGCGGTATGGGTAAATCAAGATTAGCAGATGCTTTCGGCCAATGCTGTCTGATGATCAACTTCATTCTTCGTGAGTCTGGGACTTCCGGCTTTCCACCTCCTGATGAAGAGATACTATTATTCCTGCGCGACCCGCCGCCAGCCAACATCCCCCATTTGTGAGTTTTCAGCTCGACATCGAGGACAGACGAAAGATGCAGAATCCAATACTAAGAAAAGAGGAGCTCCTTAAGCCGTTGAAGACATTTGCGGAGCTAGAGCACATGGCCCAATTCGGCAGACCTCTTTGGCATGCATACGCGGATGAGGGCCGTGATATGATCAAATTGGCCAAATTAAAGCTCATTGGCGGCCAGCAAGGGGGACATTACAATGCATCCGACCGGGATCACGTATTTGCTGCGCTGTCCTTTCGTCTCTCTTTGGATGTATGTCGACAGAACCCCTGCACCATCTCTCTCACAAGGACTGCTGTGAATTCTTTCATGAGGGTGGTTATATCTATGGACCACGAGACCGGAGTGATGGACACAGTGACGCCATCAGAGCCCGTCTTAGCCAGGGCAGCAACGGAGTATCTCTGTGACGCTAACTGGTCGCGTAGCATTCAAACACTCTGTGAGGAGCTTCTTGAGAAAAGATTAATAGAAAAGGGGCGCAAAGAAGAACTCTATGCTCGGTTAATGTTGATCCTGGCACACGACTGGGTTCGATGGGCTCGAAGTATTCGATTAAATCGTGTCCCGAAATTTGCACCAACCTTTACTGTGTCCGACTTTCTTATGGCATTATATGCTCGAGATCATCACGATTCAATTCGAGAGATACCAGAGCAGATACATAAAGCCAGAATGAACTTCACCCATTTTGTACTAGCTGATGAACAGATTACCGCCGAGATCATTCCTGCATTGTGCCGCGACCTATTACGCCGAAGTGCTGCGATGCAGCTATCTTGGAACCAGGACATATACGACCTGCTTATTCCCGTGTACTATGGCTCGGAGGATGAGGAGCTCGACCCATCGAATTACGGAGTCATCTTAGTACAGGTGAAGAATAAGGATGCCAGCACACCTCGAGAGATCTTCCAGGAGGATTTTAAGAATATCAGCCCGGAGACGTCGAATCTCGGCAAATCGAAGGCGATCAGCTCTGAGCGCAAGCCAACGAAATTTATCTTTCATCAGATGACGAACCCGATCCTGTTCCTCCTCTTCGATCTAGGAGTGGTTAGAAGCAACCGGACTTACGCTCCACTTGTTCAAGTGATGCACAGCGAAAGTGGACTGCGACCTGATTTATGGGCAATCCATTCGCGAGGACACGATTACACCGTCTTTGGCTGCTTACAGCACATGAATGCTATAGATTCGAGCGAGCGGTTCTTTGCCTCAATAAAAATGGGCGAAACTCTGGCTGACCGACTCTCTCTGAGAAATAAATTATTCCATATGAAAGATTTGAGCAAGAAGGAGGAGCGAGTCCGGGATGGAGTGAGGCCAGTGTGCAAGAACAGGGTGTGGATAGGGCAGGAAAAGAACGCGGAGTGGTTGATATCGAAGCGCAGGAAGAGGCAGCAAGCAATACCCAATCGAAGAGAAAGGAAGTGGAAATTCCCCAGGATACCCAGGATAATCGGTTCCCTAAAAGACCTCGCGAGTTTTTGTAACATGCAGAGGGTTTCCAGGGTATCACTAGCACGTAGTGAAGAGGAATTACCTGTAACACAAGAATAGAGTGTAGAATGGCAATAGACTGAGACTGAAGCCTTGTTTTTCTATTCTATGTCTACGGTCCGTTTCTTATACTTTGTCTTCGTCCCTCCAGCCTTATTATATTCTTCCCTAAGCGCGGTGGTTAGGTCCTGTTGGCAGTGTCTCTATTTAGTAAGTCGCGTTCGCGGTTGTCGTTCGCGATTCGAATCGCGATCAGGTGCCGGGTTTCATTTCCACCTCCTCTTTCCCCAGTTTGGCACCCCTTTCCTCCTCAATCGGACGCAGGACTCAGGACTCGAGTCTTGAGATCGCTGGCCTGGTGGTATGGCGAGCATATTCATTCCTTGCTGGGCCCATGTGCCTGCTCCAGCCCTGTACTGGAGCCTGCTATGGTCTAGGGCCACGCAGGTAGACATGTCTCTGCCTAAACAAGCAATTGTTTAAGTCACTCATTCATCCTCAGATAGTCTCAGGTAGGCAAGCCTCCATAGTCCAATGTGCATGTACTCCTGCATCCATTCTCTCAACAATCTGTTCCAAGTTCTTTAAAGAGAGCTGGCATCCGCAGCCTGGCCAGTTCTGTTGCCGGCTCGGACGCATTGAGAAAAATGTGGGAATGTCTCGGGAGAACGACCACCCACAGCGACTCGCGCATGAATTGAGTAATCGTTGTCCGCATGATGGAAAAGTACCTAATCCCCTCCCCTCGTACGAAAGAAGACCCTCTCAAGACCTTTCCGAGTATGAGGGAATTGCACGAGATTTGAGCCAGTTTACTCGACCAGCGAGTCAGGATGAGTACAGCAATGGGGAACAATTGGTGGCCTCTCGTTCACAGCAAGGCCAATTCGTTCCGCGACACTCGCTCACTAGGCTGTATCACCATGAATAGGCAACAGCGATGACGTTCGCTGTGTAGATAGATATGTAGATGGGGGAATGGATTGGGGTACCAAACTCGGCACCAAATTCGGCTATTATATAGTGGTACCTACGATTCCTTGGCTCCACCCCACAAACCTAAGTACCTACTCCATCCTTCATAAACAGTAGTCTTGCAGTCGCAAAACCTCATCGTCGACCCTGTTTGTATAGAATCCCTTAGTGTTTATAAGCTCAATTGCATCAATATGTCCTCTCTTCAAGCCCACAGCTGGCGTGCGCCTCCATATCGCCCCGAACACGTCCGGATAGATAGTATTCGGGTGTTGGCTGATGTTGGACAATAGTGTTGAAGAAATGGGGACCAATCATTCACAACAGACTAGGACATTTGGCAACACTCGCTCAATAGACTGTATCACCATTGACAGGCAGCAATGGTGACGTAGACTCGTTAGATAGATATGTAGATGGGCTCTACCTACACTCGTTAGGAGAGCCAGAGCACTCTTTCAATCTACGAAGTTTGACAGTTGATGATAATCTTTTCTAAGATATCGTCTGCCCATCTCCACATGGGCCATGGACTGGATCCGATCAGGCTGGGAAGGCTGCGTCGTACACGCTGCTGAAGGAACGAGGTCACTGTCCCCGGTCCCACCCAGCCACATAGTGCACAGATTAGATCTGATGGCGATGGTATATCATGGGATCCGATCCAAGGACCATCTAAATATCAAGGCCGGCACCATACACTGTCCCCAGCCCTACCCGGCCACATGGTCCACGGATTGGATCCGACGGCGGTGGTCTTTCGTCGGATCTAATCTACGAACGATATCGAGTGTGACCAATCGAGCTTCTAAGTGGTCCACAGACTGGATCCGATGGGTGATGGCCCGGAAAATGTTTAATCCGTCCGGGGGTTTCCACGGACTGGATCCGATACGTGAGCAATGTTGCCGGCAACATGGTCTACAGATTGGATCCGATGGCGGTGCGGCAAGGGGGGAGAGGCCCCCGTCATCACGTGATAATGCCAAGCCATTTCTCACGTGATTTGCAGTCTCGATGGTCTTGGCGTATTCGCGTGACACAATGCCAAGCCCCACCACTTGGCTAATCCCAAAATCCAAAAAAAAAATGTAGGGTGCCTCAGGATCGTCGAGCAACCACACACAAAGCTCTAATTGCTTCATCTCTCCATGCTCTGTGCCTCTTCGCCTGTATGTGTGAATCCTCGAAAAAGCCAACTAAGAAAGGTTCGATGCACTCCTCAGCTTTCTACCCACCCATGTCTGCTTTCCCCTTACATAATCCATGCACGTAGCGCCCCGCTACAATAGTATGGCAGACTTTATCACTAGTCGAAGAGCCTATGTTTTTGGTCCAGAGCCTAGTGGTGCATATAAGTTCATGCCTCGGAAGGTAGTGGATCCTGGCGTCTGATTAGTACTGTGCTATTGCAACGTGAGTGATGTCATACCTCTCTGTCATGTTTTTGAAGGCAGAAAATGGGAAATCAGAGAGGGGAGCCGAAAAGACTCGGACAGACTAATTTGTGGTCGACGTCTCTTGTATTGAACAAGGATAGGGAAGCCCGGCGCAATCAAGTATTCCTATGCTGGCTTCAATTGTTATCAAGATCAATGAACCTCCTGGACGATTTTCTGTACGCCAGCCGTCATGTCATTAAGAGTACTTAATCTCTATGACCGTCAAAGGCTTGGGGTAATTAGCTGTCCACTTTTCCTCCCTGGACCCGGATCTCGATACATGGCATCCTAATTAGTACCCCAGCGTCAATAGCGCCCATCATGTTTATCGCTTACTCTCCATCCATCATAACAATCACCTTCCCTCTTGCCCTTCCCGACCACAGGATATCATACCCTCCCAACACCTCCTCAAACCTCCAAACACTATCCACCACGACTCTAAGTTTCCCCTCCGCCACCATCTTTAACAACTCTTCTCTTTCGTTTCTCGTCGCGTCCATCATATACACTGTTTTCCATTTCCTTCCCACTCCACCTAGCCATCTGGATGTCGGCCAGACCATATTGCAGACCATCTTCCCCACTGCCAATGCAAAGCTAGGCAGGCTCATCGCCTGCGGTTTCACAATCGTCGCCACGTACGGCTTTCCTGGTATTAGGAACGCCGCGCTGGCGTTGTAGAGGTCCGGGATGCCGACGCAATCTAGGACGCAATCGAACTGCTGGGTGGCGAAGCGACGAGATAGCTCGTCAGCAAGGTTAGAAAGTATGGTATAGTCAATGACCTGTCAGAAATCAATAAGAGTCAATTCTTGGGTATGCGCAAACCCACCTCATCGGCGCCCAGCTCCCTCACCATCTTGGCATTCCTACCGGAGCAGACGGCCACAACAACGCCCTTCTTCCCTACAATATCGCGCGCAACTTGCACGGCCATTGTGCCAACGCCACCGCTTGCACCATTAACGAGAACCCGGTGACCGGGCTGCATCCCAGCGTCACGCGCCATGCGCAGGGCTGTCATACCTGCCACTGTTATGCCGGCTGCGTCCCTTACAGGTACACCATGAGGCAGCTTCACCACAAGCTCGGCTGGAATAGCTAGATGAGTTGCTAGAGCTCCGATTCCAGCAGCTGTGAGCGCCGTGGGTATCATTCCGGCAACTAGATCCCCCTTTTGGATGTGGAGCCCGGCGGACTGGGAGTCAGAGGGCATCCAAATTTCCAACACTTCGCCCGAGAACTCAATTTCTGGAATTGCAGTCTTTGCTCGGGAAAAAGCGGGGAAAATAGCAATGAAGTAGGACCCCCCAGGGTTGAGGGCCGCGTGAGACACTTTGATCAGAACCCAAGGTTGATGCTGGTACTCTTTGGGAGTTTTCACTGCGGGAGGCAACGATGGGCAGGGGATGGACTCGATACGAAGAACATCTCGGGGAGGGCCACGAGTCGTGAAACGCCAGGCTTTTGCGGCCTCCATTCTAGAGACCTTTTGGGACTTAATCGGGGTCTGCTGGGGGAGAATTATCTTAATTGCCGTCGGGGCAGATCTCTGAAGGATGATGTATCGCCTGTGGTTCGAAGCCCACACAGCGGCAGACTGTAAAATCTCGAGATGGGCTTACGTCAAAAACGATTTCCGAGAGGCCAATTGACTCGAGCTTTATACATAAAAGCCATCGATGTACGTTAGGCAGACTTCATTGCTTCCTTCGCGGGGTATTCGGGGAATTTTCGTATAGCTACGCTTCATCGGTTTCTGGGCTTTCTTGGCCTCCTGACAGCTCTCGTATTCAGTTCAAGGCAGCAGAATTTAAAGCATAAGCGAGGCCAAAAGGTCCCATACAATTAAGGCACTACGAAGTGGTAAATCCTCGACCGAATAAACGAGTACGTGAAGAGGTCTGTGCTTGGCTCCCTGCTTGGACAATTTGTCACCAAGTCTTGGGTATCATCTACCTCTGGGCAAGCCTCAATTTCTCAGCAGCCAGAACAGATGGCGACTACGAATGCACTGGTGGAAAATTGTGTCGAAACCGCGCGGCCGTCGCAGATTGCGCTGGAGTCGTGGAAGAAGGCATTGGTAACATTGGGGGTGGCAGGTCGGGGACGAAGTAGACGGCGGCATTAGGTCCTGTACGCATTCAACACTGTCATCCAAAAACACGCGCGCCTTTGGTCGAAGCCAACCAGAGAACGGAAAACTTTACCGGCGGGCATCCTCAGACTCTATGACGGGAGACACACTTCCTACTCGATGGTAGAGGTACTCAGCATCTACAAAATGGCCTGGCACAGGCACGTCGTGTCACAGCCACCGCGCGGCAAGGGATTTCAGCTTGGATGAAGAGTCCTGGAGACTATTACGTCCCAAGATAAATGAAAGAAACATTGAGGCATGCCGCATTTCCTCTGATTCATTCCGATACTTCTGTTCCCCAGTCGTCTTCTAGTCCACATAGCATTTAGTGATCCTCGCACCATGGAAGAGCTTCTCGAGATTACGGCGCCTCAAAATTCTGCATGCCTCTCATTTATGGCGGAGTTCTGCTCGCAGTTGGGTTCTGCTCTTTGGTCCGAGAGATATAAGGCTCCGACAGCTCTTCTCTTCCTCGAGGAGGCTGACAACCATATGGAAAAAAGCTCATTCCAGGACATCCACCATAACAGTCTCGTTGCTGTCATTGTTCGGAAACTAGAATACTGCAGGGCCCATCATCCTTTTGTCCACTAACCAAGTCAATGCGTTTGATGATGCGATCCTCTCTCGAATGCTTATAATGTTCACACTCCCGAAATTGAACGTGACACTATATATCAGACTGGCCAACTCAGTGGACAGGCAAGCGTGATACTAAGGCATTGAAGATGGAATTGACTGAATTGACTGATTTATTGATATCGCCTTGATCACTTCAGGGCGACCAAGGAGTGAGGGCGCGGGTAGCAAGATAACGGCTTGCTCTCCTAGCAGCTTGGGAGCCATGACACTATAAGACAGATTTGAGACCGATTGATCAAAGATACCCGCACAGGCAGTACCAAAAGAACCGAAATGTCCAATATAGACGCAGCTCGATGCTCGCCAGGTAGATTAGAACGATGTTTTATCTCTACTCCTTGGATCAACGGAGATTAGATCAAAATTTTTATGGCAATCGCCCAAGCAGTGGCCAACAAGCAGAAATCGCAATTACATTATTCGCACATCCAAAAGGGCTGTGGACCACACCATCACCTTTACGGATGGTTTCAAAATACCTCCTGCAACCGTCATCCGGATTCTGCGGTCTTGTATGGCTTCGGCAGGAGTTGTCGTGGAAATTCGCCGTGGAAGGAATTGTCGTGAGTGTGATTGTCGTACAGCAATACTTCTACGAGGGCCCGAAAAGGGGCGTTGGATTACATAAATATATGTGGCACGTGACTTTGCGCAAGGCTGTAAGGTCGGGGGCCTCAATTTTCGGCTCCTGTTGTAATATGTGGCAACGCCAAGGTTGGTAATGACCCTGAGGCTGCAGCTTCAACTTCTCAACACCTCTAACCTAGCGGCAGCCTCTAACTAGATTGGCTGCACAACCTTCCAAGCCAGACAAAATATGTACCTCAGTGGACCTCACAGTCTTCTTCTTCTAGCTCTTTCACACAATGATGTCAAGACCAGTTCCACCCCCTGCCAGAATCCTTACAACTCGTCATTACGGCTTGTTTCACAACTTCTCATACCTTTCGGCCCGTGTTTGTCGTCCGTGATATTTGCCAATGAACTTTGTGTCCAGAGTAATTGCAATACCCAGCGGGACGGAGCTCAGATTTGATATGCTGCGCAGAATGGAGTGTGACCCCGAGGTTGGAGCACTCTTAATAGTATGTTGAAGCCAGATGTTGAACTTGGCTTATTGCCGGACCAGTCCTGGAAGCGTACTTCCCTGGTCTTAAAACCAGCCCACGCTACTGAGGACGTCAAAATTGGTTGAGTGGACTTCTGAGAGTTTCGAACCGAGAGGTAAGAGTCGCATAAGTGGATGAGAGCCACTGGCTCCATCCCGAGGTGTAAAAGCAAGTTCGTATTTATCCACCTCAAATGAACAATTATCGAAAGTCGTCAGCTCGTATGTATAATGAAGGTCGAAACCAAGAACATCGTTGGCAAGAAATAAAAGTGGTGCATCCTGAGCGCAAGGTCGAATTCTGTTCCTAGGTCGAGAAAGATGCCACAATACTCATCTTGAATCTTCACTTCTCTCAAGTTCATTTCCGTTTCCAGATCAAAGTACCTGCCGTGTTCCTTAAGTCGCGAGTGAGCAAATTTGGGATGTGGCTGTGTAATCTTGCGCTCGGCTTAACAAGCTCCTGACCACACCTGGCGGTGTTCAACTAACCCTAAGCATCAGTGTAAGCCCTACAATATAATCAGGCCCGGAAAACAGATATAGACCTTTGGGGTGGCTAGGATTCAGGAATGAGTATTGAAGCCGATCGATCTACCCATTTGTGAAACGGAAGCTAAACCATCAACGTCTGTGGTGGTGCTCTTTACTCGCTAAGGCCGTTCGAAATCCCCTTTGTAGCTTTCAGTCTCCCTCTTTCTCAAGATTGTGCCTTCTTAAAACAGCCAAGAACACCTGATCCAGCGTCGCCCTGCTAACAGTGTAGTGCTGTACTCCCATGTGCGCCTTCACCATCTCCATTTTCTCAAACATCTGTGCCAGAGACATCTCCGTACCGTTCTTAGGGCCGGGAATCACAAACCAAGCTTGTCCGTGATAGATGCCTTTTTCGCTCCTCGCGCCCGGGAAATATTGTTGAATCCAAGTACCGATCCTCTGGAAATCCTCTGTACTGCTATCGTGGACGCGGGGGTGCACCAGCTGTAGAACATAGACATTCCCAAATGTTCGCTTCAGCTCCTCGGTACTCCCCAACGCCAACATTCGACCTGAAAGGATCCCGGCGCGAGTCGCCAATACGTCCGCCTCCTCCATCGAATGAGTGGTCAGCACGACCGACCTTCCTGGTGTGACTGCTGCAAGAGTACGCCGCATTATTCGTTTGCTCACGACGTCCATCCCTGAAGACGGCTCATCCAGGAGAAGCACGCTCGGGTTGCCCATGAGGGCAATACCTAGGGAGAGTTTCCTCTTGTTCCCGCCAGAGAGTTTAGTGGCTTGTCGATCCGAGTATTGCTCTAAGCCCACGGCTTTGATGATGGCGTTAACATTGTGACGAGGATCGCTGATGTCGCGCACCAGCGCATAGAACTGAAGGTGTTCTGTAACGGTCATGTTTTCCAGCGGCTCCGTCTGAGGACAGACTCCAATTTTAGAGCGTGCCTGTGCACGGTGTTTAATGGCCGACACCCCGTCGACGAATATATCGCTATGACGACCGCTGGGTGCAACGTCCCCTCAAATCAAAGAGATACAAGTTGATTTCCCTGCACCGTTGGGGCCTAGTAACGCGAAGCATTCGCCACGTGGAACTCTGAAAGTGACATCGTCGACTGCGAGGCGTTTTCTGAATCGCTTCCGTAGGCGATGTATCTGAAGGCCATCGCTACGAGATCCGGGGCCGCAGGCGAATTCCGTTACCGCCCCAAGCTCAAAGGTGTCCCCTCCTTTGATGTCCGCTCCTTGTTTCCTGAAGTAGGCCAAAAACGGGATTCCAGAATCTTTCCACAGCAATATTGCAAAGAACAAGAGTGACTGGAGGCAAAGGTAAAGTATTGGTGCTCCGTAGATGTCGATTGCGCCCGGATACGACGCGATGTTGCGCCCTCGGCAGGTCACCCCAAAAATATTTAGGGTGAGGTAAACTGCCCTGGATAGGTTGCATACCGGCGAGAAAATACCAAGGGCAAGATAGGCGGTAAGCAGAGCCGAACTCTGACTCGAGGCGTCGACATAAGTTACGATCACTATGAAGGCCACAAAAAAGACAACGTACATTCCGGATTGAATTCCAGCTATGATGGCGAATGCTGCAAGCTGAGATTTGGCGAACAAGGAAACGATGTATGAAATCAAGGTCGAGGCGATGCCGTAGAGGAGAAATAAAAGAAACATGTACTCGAGGTAGTACCAAGCGTCCGTGGTCGCTCCAAAGATGGTGGCGACGACAACACTGATGGTGAAAACCATGGAAAAGTCGAACACCAGGTACGTTGACCAAAGTGGAAGAGCGCGCACACCGTTGCTATGGTGGATACTTCTGACGCCTCTGAGACGCTCGATGGTCGGGTAAAGTCCAAAAAAGGCCGGATAGACGGCCATCGAAAGTCCAAAATATGCCGCGAAAATCAACAGATTGCCGATGTCTGCAGCGAAAGGGATGTCGAGCGGCTGGTAGTCAGTGGCAATGGTGACGTTGAGAAGCATGCTGTCCACAATGCTTTGGACAAGCGTTCCAAAGGTTAACGCCCCGTCGGCGCGCCATGCAAAAGTTGGCTCCTCGCCGAGGAAGAACCCACCTGGAGTCAGGTTCTGGAATTGTTTCGTTACTCGGTCGTTGAACTCGGCGAGACTCTCGACATAAGTGACTGCCCCTGAGGGAGCCTGAGAAATTCTTTCGATGGCGGCAGCAGACAGCTGCGATTGAGGCCCCGCAATCAGTCGAAAATCCGTTGGAGAGGTTGACGAAGACCCTGAAGCGGAAGCCAATGTCTCCAAGTTGGGATCACAGCTCGTGACGACGGAATTTCGCAAGAAGAGCGTGGAACACCCGGCTGCAATGATCGGAATGGAGACGGCAACCAGATATGGGATTAAGTTCCTCCTCAAGATTATAGATCGCTTCCAGAGAAGGGCCTTTCCCTGCTTCCACAAGCTGGTTCTCTTACCTCCTTTTATGTTAGGATTTACATAATTACAGATTACAGCGGCGCCACGCAGGGAACATACATGCAGGATTCAAGGGGATTTAGAATAGTTACACCCTGGGCCTTCCGCAGGCAACAATATTAATGCATCGTCGATCCCATTATCACACTAGAAATCTCATCTGCTTGCTGACTCTTTCGTCATTTTTCAATTCTGCAAGTGACATGGCACGGTCCGCACTCAGCGAATACACTCAAACAGACCCCACAGATGTATGCACCACATCCATGTGATCTATACCATCGATCTTGTCATGGAAAGCCAAGCCCATGCTAAGGACAGTGTATAGCGTGCGCTGCGCAGGATGCCCCTATTCGACTTCCCAAGCATGAGAGTCAATGTCGCCCTTGCGCCTATATAGATGGATAGGTATCCTTTTGACCTCGTTCTAGCCCCGCTGGCGAGCCCGTTCCCGACATACGGGAACGTGGTGATTAGCTGTATTTCTGGAAGATATCGTAGTTGTGCATACATGCTTCATGGTTCTTGAGGTGCATATGCCCATGAATGATGACAGCGGAAGTTTGACGTCCAGGGTCCAGGCATGGGTGTCATCATTCTCCTTAAGTTGTTTGATATAGAGTCTGACATGGATCCCAGTTTTGTACACCGAGGAGAAGTTGTGGAGATGGTGCGTTCCAGAAGCAGAAGACACACTGCGTTGTTGTGAGGGCCTTAGGAAATAGGAGACGATCTAGCGATCTGCTTGTTATGTTGAATTCTTCATGTTCGATCTGGGGTGTGTCGCAGCAGATTGTCTTTTAAGGAGTTGATGGTTCCCTGGCGGTTCTTGAAGGGGACAGTCTCTGGTCCCAGAAATCTTAGAGTATGTGAGTGGGAAGTCAGTCTGGGATGGGGGGCAGACTAGGTTAGCATTCTTGGTATCGAGAGAAAGTCGCCTCCATCGGCGGCGGCACCAACCGCCAAATCTGGCGTGGAGATTTTCCCTGCAACTTGCGTTGAGCTCTAATTGCTCGATTTTTGTGCTCCTTAGTGCGGACCTTACTAATAGACTGCAACCTCCCCGCGCCCCCCCACCCCCCCCTCCCGCGCCAGCTTTTATTATGGATTGCTACCCCGGATTCTTCGGGTTAACTCTCAGACTCTTCATTGTCGAAGTATAACAGTCAATGACTGTCTAAGAACTCATTGAGATCACAAAGTTCTGAAACCGTCACCCTTCTTTCTGGAGAAAAACCAGACCAGAACTGTTTTTCAACCCCACAATGGCTACCACGGCTCAACTCCTATCACACCCCGAATCCGTCAAGGTCTTCGGTCGGTCCGCCTATCTCCGTCATGCAGACCCTGAGATAAGAATCTACTACGTCGAATCTTTCCCGTCTGACAAGCAGAAAAAGAATAAGGGCACGCTTCTTCTAGTTCATGGGTTCCCACAAACATCGTACCAATTCCGCCACGTAATGGTACCTCTGGCCGAAGCAGGATACCACGTTATCGCACCAGATCTTTTGGGTCACGGCTTCAGTAGCAAGCCCATCGGAGATATTCACCAACAAAACCCGTTTACCGCAAAGTCTCTTGCAAAGGATCTCTACCAACTAGTTACAGAGCACATTGGCGTGAAAGACAAGATCCACCTCGTCGGCTACGATATCGGCGGCATCGTTACGCACCCTTATGTCTGCCAATTCCCCCATAGCGTTGCGAGCGTGACGTGGGGCGAGAACCTCCTGCCTGGATCCAAGTTCTACGACATGTACAAGCACACCCGGAAGATGTGGCATTTTGATTTCCATAGCCACAATACCGAACTCGCCGTCGCTTTGGTCTCGGGTAAGGAGAGGCTATATGTGAAATATTTCTTTGATCGGCAAATGCAAAATCAGACCGTATTTCCTCCCGAGGTCGTGGATTTCTACGCCCAGCAGTATGCCGCACCAGATTCGCTACGGTGTGCATTTCTGGTCTATCGCGCTTTCGAGGCTGATGCCGAGGATAATCTTAAGTGGAGGGAGGAATTGGGCAAAGTTAAGATCAAGAATATGATGTTGTCGGGTGAAAGGAGCTTCCACGCAGACGAGGCGGTGGAGATGGCCAAGGAGTTCTACGAGGATGTCCAAATAGGCACTGTGCCCGAGGCGGGACATTATCTTGCCGAGGAGAATCCGAAGGGGTTTGTGGACGAGCTATTAAAGTTCATCGAGTCTTGAACAACGGACGTTGGAGCAGACGCCAGACTCTACTAGCTCTCAGGGATCAAAGAGTCTATTCGATGTTGAATGGCCAAAAAATATTCTCTCTGGACCCTTTCACTCCGCATTGGGTCTTTGCTAGCCATTCAACCTTGATGGCAAGTGGATACCAGTTTGGCTTGAAACCTAGGTTTCTGGATCCCAATGAATAATATATTGGAAGCAACTCAACCATGATTAGATGCATTCGAAGTCCGTCTAACACGTGCACTTTTACATTACCTCCTAGGCAACGATGTTGCTGACAATCCAGGTTCCATCCTCTTTTTATTCAGTAGCCCAATGCTTGTCTGTCACCCATAGGGGACTAGCTAATTTGCTACGCGCTGCCCTCGTTGTCCACCGGTTCATTCCGTACGATATGCAAGATTGTTGCCCTGTTTCGAGCCATCGACCAGGCCATCAAGAGCGTTTTCCTGAGTGTTACTAGTCTTTCAACGGTGCAGCAACTTCCCGGTGCTGGCTCCTGCTCTTGCCCTTGGGGCAGCTATCTATCTCCTGAGTTCGTCTGCAATCGTCCAATGGCTTTCGCAAATTCAATCACTGCTCGGATGACTTTCATGTTCACCTTCCACTTGTGCCGGTTGGGTATTACGTAGCGGTAGAGAACGTCTATCTATCCATGTGATTTTACGGAGGACTTTGTCCTATTTCGAAGGGGTTCCAGGGGACCGTTAGACTATATATTTTCGAAGCCTGTACGAAGCGTACAACGCTTCCGAAGGTCTTTACAAGCCTTGGCGTCGCCACGTACCAGGGTGGACCGCCAAGGAAGATACCGCCAAGAGTTGAAAAGATGTACAATCCCCTATCGAAGGACCCCGTGCCAAGCATCACATACAAAAGATCTTTCAGCATCTCCTGGGTAACATGCTCTCTTGAGCTCTCTTCGTTCCACGTCTAGTATCTAGAACTGGATGATATCTTGAATAAGATTTGATTTGATTACCTGACCTAGAACCCTCACATCCTCCTTCGAAAGATACCGTACCCCTGGAAAGTATATATTCTGACGTTCCCCCCGAAAGAGGTACAAGTTCTCAAATCGCAGATGACTCATCGGAGATCTCGCACGAATCTTCACCATCGTAGGTCTTCTACTGGGATGGATGGCAAACTGGTTCGCATGGAAGTCAAGAGGCCAGCCGACAAAACCCAGTCCACGTTGGACCTTTTTGACTACCTAAGTCATGACTGCTGCACTATGATTTTGGAGTTCCTTTCCCCCGTCGACCTGTTTCAATGTGAACGGGTTAGTCGATCTTGGAGGGATCACGTCCGATTGTGGATGGATCTCTTCGGCATCCGCCTTCACTTCCCTCACTCTAGCGATAGACGGAGTTGGGCTCGTCAGGATTTGCCACGTTACCAAATATTCAAGCTTTTAGGTAAGTGAAGAATCACAACCGCCTGGGCCAGTGTCGACTGTGATTTAATCCAGCATTAGCCCGTCAGGAGCACGCAGTTGAGTTTGGAGAGCCGACTTCGGTTCGAAAGTTTCCCAATGCGCAGCACTTTACGATAGCGGGAAACATTATGGCCTGGGCAGAGGCAGGTGCCGACTCGGTCCATTGGCGGCTTTTGGCATATACAGGGGCCGATAGCAACGTCAGTGAGATCAGAGTCATGGATCTGCGCGACTGGGGTCCGGGAGGTCGACCGGTCACACTTCAGTATCTCCAACTGAATCTTGACAGATTTTTGCTTCTAAGGGTTCGGGTGGAGCCGAGTGTCTATGACCACGACTCAACTAGGTCGTTTTGGTGAGCTTTCATCGTGCAACCTTTTCTTTTGACGGGAGTGCTGATGAACGCTTTAGGGACATGGTATATTCCCTCAAGGATAATCAGCTCGTTTGGCGCAAGGATCACGTATATATCCCCAAAAAGGAGCGTCCTCGACTCACACCTCTCACCATCGGGCAAGATCGGGTCTATTTTGCACACAGGACTTCCAATCACGGGTATGATCTGGTTGCATTTAAGCTGCGGACCGCGGAACGACTGTACCAGATGCCCCTTATCTCCAAAATCGCGAGCGGCGATAAGGGTTACCTCGTGCCATACCAGCGAGATATCCTGGACTTGATCCACCTTGATGGGGGGGATGAGCTGATTATACAATTCAACTCCGATCGGCTGGTTTCGTGGGGCCCTGGGCTCCCAGAAACCTTCAGCATCATCAACGGGGCCAACGGCCAGGTGATTCAAAAAATCGACTGTGCCGGTCTCGGACGTCCCAGAATAGCGAAATCCACCTCCACCTCCTTTATATTGGCGAGTGAGGTTAGTTCGGCCCCGAAACCCTACCACCATTGTTTGGATGTAGTGACTCTACAAACGTTCTCACGGCAACCCAATGGGTCCTTCTTCCGGACGGCCATTCGCGTCGTGACCCTGGAAGCGAGGGCCGCCTACGCCGCCGCCGTCGCCATCCACCCTCTCACCTTACGAGCATTTTCGTTCGTTGCGGGCAACCATGCGCCCCAAGCCCTGACTCTCGTTCCTAACTGGGATCCAAATGATCGTCGCCGGATGCGAAAATGGTGGCCACATCTGACAGTTGACGAATTCTACCGAGTTGAGGTGGCGCGACCGGTAACTTTGCCGCCACGCCAACGTGGTAGGCGTAAGTTCAAAGTGACAGCGCAATGGAAGTTTGCATCTCTGATCTTGCTGGACGAACGCCGGGTCGTGTTTGATATCATCGGTTCGAAATATGACGCCCTTTACCTATTGGACTTTACGCCTGAATGGTGGTAAGACAGCGAAATGGGGTCCACTGTGGCATCGTTGTCAAATGGATTCTATTGAGTGCTCTATCTTCTGCCAACTTGTTGTGTTCCTGAGGTCCTCTTTATCAGTGTTGCGGGAAACCTTGTCGTTGTGCAGAGTAATCGTCAGGAATGCCGTCGCCCGCAACAACTCCCGTTAGTTGTGGAGTCCGTACATGACGGCACCCTGTTCGACAGCATTGTTGTACAGGGTCCTGCCAACAATAGAATGGACACCGGACCTTCTCCACCAAGAAGAAGGAGAAGATGGCGAGGGCCCCTGCCGCTACTAAGCCCGTTCCGATTCCCTCGACATCGACACACCTAATCCTCTGGCATCGGCCCACGAGTTATGAGTCAGTGATTATAATGTACCACCAGGACTTTCGAAAAGAGGACGGTGCTCAAGCACGGTTCGGAGGTCGCGAACGAGTCGTTCAAACATAAGAATTAGCTTGGCATACTGGGACTTGATGAATACGTAGAGCATTACACAACTGAGTAATTCATTGAATTCCATTCTAAAGTTGGCCTGTACTATGAGATTGAGACCGTATACGATATCAGCTTTTTCCAACCATCACATTCCACAGCAATCCAATGGTTCTCAGGAACGCCAACAATGCGTGACATAGACAATACTGTGTCATGAGTGACTTGTGTACAAGGGATAAAAAAAGAGAAAGTCTAACAGCGCAGCAGTTCGGTGGCGTTTTTGACGATAACTTCGCCAACGCACTTGATGTTGGGTTGGGCGATCTGTGCCAGGTGGTTGCTTTTAACAAGCGTAGCGATGATCGCCAGGATCAGGATGTCGCGCTCGACATGGATCCGAGGCGAGATCTCACGCAAGAACGAGTTGACGACCCACCACTTATTACCTCCTGTGAGCTTGAAGGCGCTCCAGTCGGTGGTAAGGGTTCGTCGCCAGAATTCTTCGGCCTTTCCTGGCCATGAGGTGATATTGCGGCCGTTCTCGTTGATCAACCCAGAGAAGAAGACACTGGATTTCAGCTTGGTGTGGATGATGTTGGTCTCGCGATCTTTAGCACCCTGCTTGACCAAGCTTCGGACGGCATAGTTGAATTAGGTTTTGCAGGAGAACAGAGCCGAATTATTGGCTGGGAAAGTGTTGGGACCATAGCTGCAAAGAAACGTTGAGTTCTTGTGAGTTTGAAGAGAGAACCAAAGTATTCTTACATGACGCTGAAGTTGGGGAAGTTGTGGACATATGTCCCCGAGTAAGCCTGAGCCCCTCGACATTCGCGCCATTGCTGGCTGAGTGATACACCATCGGCGCCGTCAATCTTTATGGTTTGGAGGAAGTCGATGACCTGGTATCCAGTGGCCAAGTACAATGATGTTAAAACCAGCTGCCTTTCCGGACATATCAATCAGACTGGTCTCGGCAAATTCTTTGATGCTTTGGTTGATCAGCTCAACGTTCTCCTCGTTAAGGCTGTCAAGGCAACCAGGGTCGAATATAGGTCTCTTGCATCCTTTTCACACGAGTCAGCACAAGGGTTGTGAGCCCAGGAAGAGAAATCCACATACCAAGAGGGAAGTCGGGGATAGTGAAGCTGTGATACTTTTGGGGGTTTCTCGGAAAGCATATACTTTCTTCTCCAGCAAGGACCAGCTTCGTACACCGGTCTTTGAAGAATAATACTCTTTGGTATCAGCTGAGTGGACAGAGCGCCGACAGCGGAGATGAAGATCGTGGCAAATCGCGAATAGCTGATGTTGATCTTGTGGTCCTTCAAGAAAACCTCCCATTCGTTCCTGTCTTCTTGCCATTTGGCTCCCAAACACTCGACGCCGAGGTGGATCAATGGGCGAAGCTCGAATTTGTCAACAGTATCGTTCAGGTCTGTCTGAGAGTCAGCCAACAGACCGACTCCGACACTAGAAGTACATTGGAGGATCTCAGGTTGTTCACACAGTTCGGTCGACCAATTCGAGTTCAGATTGATGCTGAAAGAGTAGAGATGAGAAGTCGAGTCAGTTTCGCACCTTCCCGCGTACAGATGTGGGCTTACTTGCCACCCGGGATACGTGTTTGTCTTCCAGGTGCCTCCAATGCCGTCATTACGTTCATAAATCTTCTCTCCAAAATCAGCACTGATGAACCAGATAAGCCTTTGGCCATCCACTGTGCAACCAAGCTTACACTTGAGTTCATGTGCGGGGGAATTCGGCGAGGATTTGCTCCACATTTTGGCAGGCAATCTCTCCCTATTTTCGACAATGTAGAAGGCCGTGGGCGTGAGGTAGAATGGAGAATGCCGGACTTTAAATAAATCGTCCCCGCGGCGCGATTAAATAACGTATGGAAATTGTGGTTACCCCTGCCAAACCAAGTGGATCTCTCGACAAGGCTCCGGTCCACTTAGGGTTAGATGTTCAGTCAATTGATGGAGTGCCTCTGTCAAGATAGGTGCCTAGTACATGGTCAGGGAGAAGGAGAATTCGTTTGAGAGACATCTTCTTCATTCTTCACCCTCACCCGGTTGCTCGAAATTGACTCTCAAAATCCCATGCTCTGCATCTGAATTTCAATCATCTCAAGCTAAACTGGGCGCCCTATTTATCGATATCTTCTCGCTCAGTAACTAGTGACCAGTGGCCAGTGGCCATGTAACAGAGACATCTTCCAAAGATTAAATTCGTTTATTTCATGAAGATTTCGTCCAGGCCCTTCAGATCCGCAAACGCCATTCTTTTCGCCCGAATATTGCGCCCTCTGAGCACATGGCGGCCGTTCTTCATCGTCATCGCCGTAATGAGCTTCTCGCTCGGAACTGGCATTTGTAGTTCGAACTCTGCAGACCGTTTTCGTTTCTCTATTTTGTCTTTGTCTTTTTTCTCGGCTTCGCTGCCGGAAGATGAAGAAGAGACGGGTTCATCGGGTGGTTGGCTGGGTGGGGATTTGTGAACTGGAAGCGGTTCTATGGGGATATCAACCCTGTTTTCATCATCGTCGTCGCTGTTGTTTCGTGTTTCTCGCTTTGCTTGCCGGGCAGCGTTCCTCAGGGCGTTCTCTCTCCCTTTCAGCCTCTTTGCTTCTTTCCGCTCTCGCGTTTCTTCCGTCCTCCTCCATTTCTCCTTGGACTCCTTGTCAATCGTATTTTGCTGCAGTAGATGCTTTGTCCGGGCATCTGTATCCTCCACGTCAACTGTCTCTTCCTTGTCTTCTTCATTGCGATCTCCAACCAGAACCTCGCCTCTGACAAAGACCATTCCACCCCATCGTCCACGAACATGCATTTCCAGCTTGCGATCCTCAAGCTTCTTCTCTTCCTTCTTCAACTCCACGTCCGTTTTACCATTCAATCTACCCAGCAATCCCTGGAACGCATCGAGACCGGTCCGTTGACCCTCGACGTCCGTACTCTTTCTCGTTGCGCCGAGTCCTAGGTTGTCGTCTTTGAACAGTACACCCACGCGAGCTGCTGCTAAGCGTTCTGCATCATTGAGGTCGATATGTACGGTGTCACGATTGCCGAGCGACTGCCCTTCTTTCCAGCCATGTCGGGCCATCAGGCGTTGGCCGAAGGAGGACGACTGAGACCATGAGAGGTTGCGAGGGTCATGGGAGATCTTGAGGCGCCTTGACGACTGTTAGTCCCGTGATCAAAGAGAGAAGATTTTGTCGAGAACAGAGCCATGGATCTCGGAAGCTATCATGAAGAAGAAAATTGTCAAGGAGGTGAGAACGTACTTTCTAGGCTCCGCCAACCCCATTCTGGCTGATGTTCAATCAGTGCAGAGGGATTCTCCAAAACAAACACCACGGTGCCGACATTCAAGCAAAGGCTGGTCGAGATCCCCAATGGCAGAATTAATCGGCATGAAGTTCCCTGACAAGTTTCGCAGGCGAGATTTTTCACCGTGTTCTTATCTTATCGCTAACGAGTCCCGTGACCGCGTGCCCTTTAAGAGCATTCAAATTGGTTGGTCAAGGAGTTACATCTCTTTGCAATTGTTCGTTTCAGGGGGTTATTCACTATCAATTCACAAGCTGTACAGACCATCATGTACTCCACGGTGCAACGCCTTCGTTATCTCGAGCAACTGCTTTCCCTTGGGATCCCCGACGACGCCGTGCCCGCCCCGATTGGTCTGTCATGAACCCCCGACTTCGTGTGGCCTACATTCATTCGAGTACCTAGCTCTTTTGAGCGGTTTGGGCCATGGGACATCCCTGATCTTTCAGCAAAACATCTCCCGGCATGTCAACCAATTGGCGTCGTCGAATTATTGCTTTTGTAGACTCCACCATGGACGCTGGCAGTGATACCAACAGCAATGCCCACCATTGCACCGATAATGACCAATGCCATCAGAAGCTTGACAATGAGTCTCTGTCGAGGAGGCAATTGTTTCAACCACATGCATCCCCTTGGTTTTGGTTTTGTCATGCATTGCTTCTCCCTCTTCCAGAATTTGAATCGGTGGGCGACTGCATTTTGAGCATCTCGCTTTTCCTGGGTTATACTGGGTGAGAGGTTGGCCGTGCCGGCTTCGACGTCGTGTATAGCCACCTGGACCGGGTCTGGCTTCTTTACATCGAAGGATGGTCGAGAAGAATCGTGGTTGTAGAGGTAGAAGGGTGAAGTGATTTTAGCATTACAACACGGATCGAACTCGGACTTGGGGGTCTCGGTGGAGGTGGGAGGTTGTTGCTCGGTGAGCTCGGTGTCTTCGGCAACTTTCTGCATGGCTGTGGTTTACTGGGTGGCTAATTGCCCATTCAAAAAACGATGAGAGGGCAGAAGATATGAGTCCTTGGAGAACTAATGCAGTGAAGAAAAACCGCAAGATGATTGCCGTAAGGCCAGGAATGAGAGCTAAGAGTCCATAATCAAAGCGAATCAGACTTTGGAAAGTGGTCTTGAGATGACGAAAGACGGCGGGAGTGACTTGGCTTTGTGTTCAGATCGACTGGCAGAATTGAAGTTGCCGTGGATCGTGGTTGCTCTCGAGAGGATAGGAGGGTTTCAGAGGGAGTGTGAGGTCGGTAGCAGAGCAGGTGACTTGGCTTTTGATGCTGTAAATTTCAAGTTGTCTCTTTCTTGCCCCCCCAGACCAAGACCAAGGGCAATGGCGTATGAGGCGCTGAGTGAGAAAAGGGACACGTACTGCAAGCCAGAGGTCGAAGTAGGGGGCGTCGGCGAGTTGGATTTGAGATTCAGATGTTGTATGTTGAGAGACAAGCCCATGTCTATTTGGGGGGGTGGCAAAGAGAGATGTTCTCCAGATGTGGTAATGAAGACCTCCCGTGCCGGAAGATGCCAGGTTGCCGGTGCGTTGACAGCTGAATCAATGAATCTCCATCCAAGTGAATCAAATGCAATCAAACTGGGTCAGATTCTCGACCTGCAATTTGACAGCCTGATTCGCGTTGGTTCGCTTGTGCTTTGTGGCTCGACCGGGGGGGAGGTGGAAAAAAGAGGAGCAACAAACTGCGCCACCCAAGACTAACGGGGCAGAAGGCTGATTAGGACTCAACTTACTGGTCAAACAGATTAACGGCATGGGTGCATATCTGGGATCTTCCTAGCCACGGGTGATAGCCTAGTGATAAGTATTGCGCTCATCTCAAGCCTCAAATCTTGACCCCGTATGCTTGCGAATGGTCTACAGGCCCGGTCCATCTTGACAGGTGTGGTATTGGCCTTTTTCACATTCGTATTCTGGCCTCGGAGTTGGTGCCAGCTGTCAATCATGGTCTCCAGAATGGGTTTTCACTGCGATAGATCGACCTTTCCGCGCGTAGGACATGGGTGCTCCTCGCTTCTGGCCTTTTGATCTTGTTCCTGGGTTTATCCCTGATTGAGATATGCTCCGGCTCCACTCACCTCCTCATTCGTCATCATCACCCGAGATACCCATCTTTTTACGAAATATACTAGGCCCGCACACAAATCAAGAGAGGGCACATGATCAAGGATGATCTGGTACTGTACTCTTCCAGCTTCTAAAACACTATTTCATGGGTATCTCCTGTTAGCTTCCGTCTTTGATGACATATTCTATTGAAGAGAAAGAGAACCATGCTACAACCCCCTTCCCCTCCTCGATTACAGGTTTCTCATGACTCTCGGAAAAAGTCTTCCCGCACGATATGACTTTTGTCGCACATGCTGCGGAATATCCCATTCGCCTCAAAAAGGTTGATGGGCGTGTCCAATTCCGCAATCCGGCCCTTGTCCATCACACAAATCCGGTCGTAACTGATGATGGTCTTGAGTCGATGCGCAATGCAAAGAACCGTCTTGCCTGCAAACCCTGTCCGCATCGTCCGCTGAATCTTCTCATCCGTTTCAAAATCGACTGACGACGTTGCCTCATCGCAGACAATAATTTGCGAGTTCCGAACCAACGCCCGAGCTAAGGCCATCAACTGCCTTTGACCAAGTGAGAAATTCAATCCCTCTTCTTCCACCAGACTGTCCAGATGGATACGACTGGGTCCTGCTGGCGCATTCACGTTCGACGTTGATGTTGCCACCGTTTCGGCGGTGTGAGGTCGACTGGTCTTCTCCGCAGTCGCCATCTCTTCTCCCACAAGGTCAGCCTTGCGGAGTGCTGCCCAAAGCTCAAGATCGGAATGTTCATTGAACGGATCCAGATTCGATCGTATCGTTCCGCGGAATAGGGTGGGATCCTGGGGAATGATCGCTAGACGTGATCGCAGATCGTACAGACCGACGGTGGCAATATCAATGTCGTCAATCAAGATTTGCCCGCTGGAGAGCTCCGTCAAGCGGAAAAGTGCGGACATGACGGATGACTTGCCAGCACCTGTCCGACCCACGATCCCAATTCTCTCCCCACCCGAAACATGGAAGTCCAACCCGTGAAGAACGAGGGGCAATTCCGGGCGATATCGCATTTCCACCTTGTTGAATGTGATGGCTCCTGTCTGGGGCCATGATTTGGGGACTTCTCTAGCCTTCAAGGGCGCCTCTTGTTCCAACTCGGAGCCATAATAGTGCAGTCGTTCGGTTGCGTTCATGTTATTCTCCACCTCAGCCAACTGCCGCACGGTAAACTGAATCATCTGGACAATCGCCAAAATGTATGACAAAACCAGCCCCGCTATGCTAGGATTAACGTTGAAGCGATCCGTCACCACAAGGATGCCCGTGACAAAAACCAGCAAATTTCCAATGGCGTCAAGTCGAGTCGACAGCCACCGTTGGTTTGCAAATGTCAAGAAATATGCTGAATCCATCTGGTCAATCGCATCTCGAACTCGTGCTGTAAAGTAAGTTTGGAGGCCATATGCCCGAATAGATGCCACCCCGGAGATGGACTCGGAAAATCGTGCAAAAACCGTAGATCGAAGGACTGCCTCGTGTCTTTTGATCTCTCGTGCCGATGAGCGGTAATAGCTTGCTGCAAACAAAAATAAAATAAATAATGGTCCAAGGGCGACCGCAAAATAGTGAAAGTAGGCAATGACAAGGGCAAAAACCGATAAGATCATGGCTAGCGTCAGGAAGTACATCCTCATGGCGTCGGTCAAACTGTTGTCCATCGAGTCGACATCCTTTGAAAACCGATTGGTGATTCTGCCCAGCGGAGTGGTGTCGAAGAAAGACATTGGGGCGCGTAATACCCGTGTCATCGCTTTTTGTAACATAACTCGACTAGCATTGGTTCCGCTCGTCGAGAGGATGGTGGAAAACATAAACAGAAGCAATGCCTGCGAGAGGCCGAGGGCGGCATATGCGCCAATGTAGGTCCCTTCGGAGAAACCGAATTTATCGCTCACCCACCAACTCAGCCACAAGCTGGTGACAATATTGGATCCTTGCGACAAGACGAGCGCAATGAAGATCAGAGGCCAGAAAATGAACGACCCAGACGCGCCGATGTAAGCTCGCCAGACGGTCCAGCTCACAGATTCGACCGCGCGTTCTTCCTGCTGCATCAGTGCTGCTGGCTTGCCCTTTTTATTCTTCTTTTCGGGTTTCTTGTCGTTGTCTTCCGCGCTTTTGGCCTTTGCCAGTGCAGTATCCTCTTGAGCTGTGGTCGCCATCAATTTTTGAAAATCAACGCTAGTATTCATAAGGTTGTCGAACGTATCAATGGCTTGGATGTGACCGTCTTCCATCCATATGATTCGATCGCATCTTGAGAGGACATGAAGCTGATGAGTAGCTAAGATCCTGCATTTGTCCTTCATCAGGCCACAAATAGCTTTGTCCATGATGTGCCGTCCAACGTGAGCGTCGACGGCCGAGAGGGGATCGTCCATAAGGACAATGTCGGCGTCAAAATAAATTGCTCGAGCAATGTTCAGCCGCTGTTTCTGGCCGCCCGAAAGGGTAATTCCTCGTTCGCCGATCTCGGTCTGATCTCCAGCGGGGAGAATCTCGAGGTCGGGTCTCAAGGCACAGGCATCCACCACTTCTTTATACCACTTCGGATTGAAGGGCTTTCCAAACAGAATATTCTCTTTGACTGTCGCGTTTTGAATCCAGGCATACTGTGGACAGAATGCACGAGAAGATGCCATCTTGACTTTGCCGCCCGTCTTTCGCATATCTCCCGCAAGGGCAGCAAGTAGAGACGTTTTACCTGAACCGACGGTTCCAATGACGGCCAGTAATTCGTTTCGACCCGCCGTGAAATCCATATCGTGCAACTTGAAAGGCTCGGCTTCGGTGGATTCACTCGAGATATCTTCGTTGGAACCCGCTGGTGATTTCTTATTCTTCTTTGCCGCCTTTTCTGCTTTCTTTTGAGCCTTCTTCCTCTCCTTTTCCGCTCTCCTCGCCGCCATGAGTTCACCCCTTGTCTGGAATGTGCCGGCCCTCTCCTTGTCTCGGGTAGCGGTCCGCTCCCAAGTGAAAGAGGCATGCTGAACCTCCACCCCACTTTCCATGTTCTCGTCCCAGGTGATCTCCTCTTGTTGTTCTTCACTGAGCAGGAATTCCTGGATACGGTTCAGTGCTGTTTGGGCATCCGTCACTTGGCCCAGGACCAAAGGCAGCAAATTAAGTGGCATCCTGAGAGAGTTGAAAAGAGCCAGGGATGAGAAAACTCGAGCAGGAGACAGCCCATGATCAGATAGTGAATAGGTGATGAAGGCTAGCATGGACGCAAACACCGGCATCGACATGGCGACCGCATTGATGGCATTTCTGATTGACAACAATATTTGGACGGCTCTGATTTCCCGCTTGCGAAGTTCCTTCAGACGGTCCAGAAAGCTAGTTTCCCAGCCAAAAAATTTGACAAACCGCACCGAGCCCAGAATTTCCTGAGTGAGCGTGACACGTTGATCGGTAATTTTATTGATTTTCTTTCTTCTGGCGAAAAGAGACTTGATGGCTTTGGTTAGGAGAGGCAGCATGATGATGAGCAGAGCGTACCCGGACAGAGCACTGTAGCCAAGGTTGACACAAAGGACGACCAACACCACAATGATCTGAACGGGTGAGGTCCAAATGATATGAAACATGCCCGAGGCTTGGTCGATACGGTAGGTGTCAACACTCATCAAGTTGACAATCTTCCCGTTATTCCATCCGGTCCCATCTCCCGCAACTCCGACGGCCTTGTCGGGTGTGACCTTCGGCCCACCCTTGGGATGGAGCCGTTTTGACAGGGAACGAGCAAGGAATGGTCGGTTCGCAGGCTTCTCTTCCGTCGTTTCAGCGATACCATTGAACGTTTCTTCGTCCTTCAAGGCTTTCCCACCTGCTTTAGCTCTTCCGGAGATCACAAGGGATTTTTCAAAAATCGCATTGATCAGAACCGCCCGACATTCCCCCCCGACCACCATGCCACGGTACAGGAAGTGGTTGGTCGACATGGTCTGGCAAATTTGCATAAATGTGATGCCGATCACCAAACCAATGCCATGACCAATATTGGGAGCTTTGCCACCCGTTTTGTCAGCGACCCATGCATCCGTAGCGAATTGGATGAGGTAGCGTGTGGTAAATGGCGAGAAGACCTGAAGCAGGGCTGAAAACAGAGCGCAGGCAGCGCCCAACAAGAATTCACCTCGGAAAGTATCAAAGAGAGCCCATGTCAGGGGATTTCGTTCTCCTCGCTGAGTCCGCCGTTTGAACGAGGCCATTAACAAGTCCATCATAGTCCCGGAGCTTCGGTCAGGATTTACAAGCCAAATATCATTCAATTCAATTGGGCGCTTGTATCCCGTGGCCATTAGAGGATTCATCCATTGGAAGGTTAACAAGCTAAAGAAGCTTGCATCGTACTCCCGACAGACAGTTCTCTCTTCCGGTATTGGTGGAGGATTTCGCCTGAGGGGGTTTAGTCTGCGATGCCATGGCGCCTTTTCTTTGGCTTGTATATCGGCTGGGCCTGAATTGCTGGCATCCGTAAAATCGGTGGCCGTGGACTCGGTTTTTTCCAGTCGTGTGCTGTCTTCGCTTCTTCCTCGCCCGGTTCTTCTGAGGTCTTTCGGGACTTCCAGATATTGCACGGCCTCATTTTCCTTTGCCAGGCCCTCTTCTTCAACGTTGGTCTGGCTGATGGCGCGTGTGAGATCCTTCTCGTCATCTGGACGCGCCATGGCTTCGGCTTTGGGTCTATTGCGCAATCGACGCGCAGGGAGGGACACCAAATTCTGATGAGCGGTCCATAATGAGTGACGGGACGAGCGAAGAGGGGTAAATATGTAGGAACAGTCGTGAATCGACAGCGCCGGTGACGGAAGGATTGACTTTACAAGCAGGTGGCCAAAGGACAAGGGTGGGATCTGTTCTCGAGAAGGCTAGTCGGCGCTGTGAAAGACCGGAATGTGGACACAATGAAATTTATTGCCCACTCCTCGATTGGACGGATTCGGGCCTGGTGAGCCGATTCTTCCAGCCTAGCGAGCAATAGATTGGGGCAATGAGTATGGAGTACTCGAATGGCGAAGGCGCTGGCGAAGCTTGAATGCACCCGGCAAGTGATCCAACGGGGACCGCCACACGGTTGAGCTTAGCAATCCATTTGCACCAAAAGGCTTGGAGTTTTCGGGGGAAATGTACTTCGATCAGACCATGTTGGCGGCGGTTTCCGGACAAAGCAAACTAGGGATGCGGGATTGCGAATTGCCTCCATCGGGGCAGAAGCACAATATCCAGGCTGTTTCAACCATCAGACGGACATTATGCATGACGGCTTCAAACCCCGACCGCTAACCCAACCAACACAGTCATGTTCTTTCGTCTCTCGTTCGCGCTGCATGCCCGGATCGGAATGGTTGGGAGTAATCGTAGGAGAGGGGAAAATTTTTAATCATGTTCGGATACTACATGGCCGCGTTACCGGTTTGGACATTCCACTAGACATCGTCAGGCTGCGGGCTGACTCGTCTGGTTCGGGCCCGAGGCTTACACCGCTCCGGTGGACGTCTGGAGATGGAGGGCGCGCCTCGTACTCCCATATGTCGTGGCATCTCCTATCCTTTTGAGTTATGAATCTGAGAGACACTTGAGGAGAATACATGAACACGGTCGACGACAGGTCAGCGTCCTTTATATATATAATCCAACTTTCCATAAGACTTGCTCTCGTCATCCCAAGGCCTCCAATAGAAGGAATGCCGCTCTCGATGGAGTCAGCGGTTAGTTGACATTGGAACAGGACTACGTTGATGCTGATCCGGCCTCTGCCCCCATCAAGCGCCTTCGACATTGGGAAATGAACGTCATGACAATTGCTGTGGAAGGTTTTCAAATGAGTGGATGTTATGGCTGAACGGTCTCATCCCTGGCCCTTATAGATTCGTGCTCGCAGCGACGTCTTTGAGAAGATCGACCGTCCTCCTGAGATCGCTGACTTTCCGATCCACTATCTTCCAGCAATCTGGCCCGATGATGACTCTGAGAAGCCTTTCATTCTTGATGAGCGAGCCAGCGTCACCCTCCCCAGTGGCCGCTTCGTACATGACACTTGCTGCCTTATTCGGATCGCCCATCGCCATCTCAGGAAGTGTCTGGACCCGTCTCAACCACGGTGCTACGGCGTGATCCGCTGCATACTCTTCTGAGGGTTCGATGCGTTTGCCCACGCTGGCAAAATTGGTCCTGTATGCACCCGGCTCAACGATCAAGATTCTGATACCAAATTGAGCGACTTCCACGCTGCAGGACTCTGAAATCGCCTCTAGTGCGGCTTTGCTTGCTGCGTATATCCCGCACGCAACACCGGGACAGATGCCCTGGGTACTAGACACATTCATAATGACCCCTGACCTCCGCTTCCTCATGCCCGGAAGAACAGCTTGCATGATTCTCAATGGACCAACAAAATTGACCTGCATTTGCGCCGCCGTTTCGGCATCCGGGATGTCCTCTAGTGCACCGAGAACGCAATATGCCGCATTGTTGACGAGAATATCGATGCGCTCGAAGATTGACTCTGCATTTTGCATGGTTGCTTTGATTTCGTCCTCAGACTGGCTGGCGTCTAGGCCAAGCCATTTCCCTCCCTGAGCTTCAACTTCAGAAACCAAGCCTGGCGTCTTCGATGGGTTTCGTGACGAAGCTATCACTCTGTGCCCTTTCGAGAGTGCATGGCGTGTAAGAGCCAGCCCTAGACCGGCGCTCGACCCTGTGATAAACCAAACTGGCGCTGTTGTTGCCATTTGACGTTCACTTCAACGGATGACTGTGGATTTGGATCTCTTGGGGACTTCAGAAAGAACAAAATGAATACGCGACCAGAGAGCGGACAATTGGTTTCACATGTTGGATTTATACTTTTGCATGCCTCTTCACGGTATCTCAATACTCTGTATATTCGCTCTTTGAGGGCCGGATATATTCTCGGATATAACATACGAAGAGCACCCACCAACCATCAGTTCATATTTTTTTCAGGTACCCCTAGACTTGAATAGATGATCTGGTCCAGGAACTTAAATGGTTTCTCAATTACAATTGGTTGAACTCCCAAGAAGGGCCCTTTCCATGAGTATATCCGACAAGCTATTCTTATCAATGCAACCGGCTGACACTGGGTCTTCAGGCCGCCACAACTATACACCTCCTTAAATGTTTGTTTTACGTCCACTACAGACGTTTCTTTCTCGCCTGCACAAATAAAACACGGACAGAAAGAACAGAAACTATCGGTTTCCTGAACTACGAGTACATTTTGCTCAAGTCATACGGGGATAAGTGGGAAGCTCCGGGTCGTCCCAGGGTAGACAGAGAAGAAACCATGAGACGAAGTCTGACGATGATTGAAATCTCGACTCCACTGTAGCATCTTTCCCAAATCATTGAGACGAGGCTTGAACATGGTCTGCGAGGTAAGCAGAAAATGGTCCTCGGAAGCGAAGCTTGAAATCGAAAATCAGCGGGGCCAAATCAACATCGAATGTGCCAGTTCAGGATACTGCAGAAGCTAAACTGCCCGGCACGGTCTTTTCAATTCAAGCAAGAGGTCATCTTCTTCGAATGTACGAGAAATAGACTTTGGGAATTTGAAGCTTTCTTCATGGACACTGCTGCCGATGTCGTCTTGTCAGACGGCAGCGACATCAAATTGGCATGCTTGATGCTTCATGGTGATCGCCACCTGAACAAATTTGCTTCCTGAATTTGGTAAAGTGGAAGTTCTGTTTCCTGGAGCGTTGTTGACGCACCTCTAGTGGTATGAGTTGATATTCGAAAAACAGCCGGAAGAATGCATCGGAAGGTGCCCGGCCTTGGCGAAAGTTAGTAGTATTATTTGCGTCTGCTCTGATTGGTTCCGAGGTTCAAAGCGTCATTGAGCGCCACCCTGCTCCGCTGCGCTCTACCTGAGTCCTTTGACGATCAATTTCTCTCCACTCCATCATTTCCTGAACATTGTCTCGTCCTGTGAAAACAGTGCTGTCAACTTTCTAGCTCCCGAGACTCACAATGGCAGCTCTTCGTACAGCTTCGCGCCTCGTTGCGCCCTCCCGATCTGCCTTGCGCACTTCCATTGCCGCGAGATCCTATGCCACCGTAACCGAGACCCCTACATTGGACACATCGGCGAGTCGAGCTCCCGCCGCTCCACCTAAGACGGGCACGGTAGAGGAGCCAAAGCCCGATAAGGAAGCAAAGATCAAGACCTTTCACATCTACAGATGGAACCCAGACGAGCCGACCTCCAAACCTCGGATGCAAACGTACACCCTCGATTTGAACAAGACTGGCCCGATGATGTTGGATGCGTTGATCAGAATCAAAAATGAGGTTGATCCGACACTCACTTTCCGACGAAGCTGTCGAGAGGGCATCTGTGGCAGCTGCGCCATGAACATTGACGGAGTCAACACACTAGCTTGTCTCTGTACGATACACAAGTTGGTGGCGATTTTATATACCTGACTAACAGCACAATAGGCCGAATTCCAACCGACACGTCCAAGGAATCTCGAATTTATCCTTTGCCACACACCTACGTTGTTAAAGATCTGGTGCCCGATTTGACCTACTTCTACAAGCAATATAAATCTATCAAGCCATTCCTGCAACGAGACACGAAGTCACCAGATGTGGGTTTAATTGAAAAATAAAAAAAAAAAAAAAGGGCCTCAAAGCAAAAGCTAATGATATTTAGGGCAAGGAAAATCGACAGTCACCAGCTGAACGGAAGAAATTGGATGGTCTCTACGAGTGCATCTTGTGCGCATGCTGCTCGACGTCATGCCCATCATATTGGTGGAACAGTGATCAATATCTCGGACCTGCAATCCTTCTTCAATCTTACCGCTGGCTCGCCGACTCTCGCGATGAGCGAAAGGCAGAAAGAAAGGCAGTTTTGGACAACAGCATGAGCTTGTACAGATGTCATACTATTTTGAATTGCACTCGGACATGTCCTAAGGGTCTTAACCCTGCAAAAGCCATTGCAGAAATCAAGAAGAGTCTTTCTTTCTAATTTGAAAGCAAGTGTTGGGAATGTTGCCGACAAAATATGGGCAAGAGGTAGCAATCGGATGCTCTCTCTACACAAATTGGTGTCTTTAAGAGCATGGCCGTGTACATAAGTGCAATGCTTGATGTTAATGATTTGACCGTGGCGTACTCCTAGCTTTTTCTATGATACTTCTGAACCCTGATAGCTACATGGGATTAGAACATGGGTTCCTACCTTGCTATTGGCGGACAACGCTCTCCGGGCTCAATGCATGGTAATCAGTTAGTCGGCCGAATGACGATCCGTGTTCCGATCACATTTCGGTTAAAACATACTACCACCACCACCACCACCGCGACGGTATTGACTCCGTTTCATAGATTCATCTCTTCCCATCTGCAACGTGTGCATCATGGACAGCTCGGGGCCTGTTCTGTGCAGTTTGCAGCAGTGGTTCTACTCTCTGAACCTCGTCCCTGGCCGAAGAACACACTTTACCGATAGCATACCAGTGACCTCCCTGGCAAGACAGCAACAATCTCTCAGCGACCTACCGCTCGAGCGAAGACAAATCTCGCCACGGAATCATGTTCGAGAAGCCAGTTCTCAGGATACAGTCCTATACCTTGGATACGGCTCCAATCTCAGTGCAGAAACATTTCGTGGAAAACGAAACATAAAGCCGTTATCGCAGGTTAATGTGGTGGTGCCTACATTGTCCTTGACCTTCGACTTACCTGGAATTCCGTACTCTGAACCATGTTTTGGCAATGTTCGCTATCGAAATGCTGCTGCAACCGAAAATGGCTCTGGTAACCTGGGAACGGAGGATTATCATAAAGACCGTTGGCCCAAAGGCCTTGTGGGGGTGGTGTACGAAGTGACGAGAGAAGACTACATACACATTATTGCTACCGAAGGAGGCGGCTCCGGTTATCAAGATGTTTTGGTGGATTGCTTTGCACTAAGTGGTGACGCGACAGAAGACGTACCATGGAAACCATCTGGCCAACCGTTCAAAGCCCATACACTGCTTGCTCCGACAAATGTGTCCAGACCAGACCACTCATACGCTCAACCCAGTCCCAGATATCTAAAATTGATCACTGATGGGGCAGCTGAGCATGCACTTCCCCTCGAGTATCAAGCATTTCTACATCAAATTCGATCATACCACTTCACAACAACAAAGCAGAGACTGGGATCATTCATATTCTTGGCTATATGGTCTCCTTTCCTCCTCTTTATATTCGGTGGGGCAGGAATGTTCCTTCGACCGGACGGAACCTATCCGAAATGGTTGGCCACATTTCTGCGTGCTATGTTTACTGCATGCTGGGCAAGTTATGATGATTTCTTCAAGAAGACCTTTGGGGATGGAGAAAGGACTGTTGGTGATAGTAAGGAAAATGAGTCTGATTGCATCATTACTGAGAAAGAACCATTAATCGAGCAAGTCCACCACAAATATGGCGCTGTGAACGTTGTGGAACGGATAGTATGAGGATGATACTTAAGAACTTTACTTGGAAATATGACTGGAATCTGACTGCTCTCCCTTTCAACCCTTATCTCTTCAAGACCATCTTCTTCCACGATAACTTTTCTAGGTGTTCATGTTGCAGGCCAGGCTGCCGTCAGTTTGAATGCAATCCTTGGCAAGTCGTGCAATGTCGGATGCAGCCTCTGGCTTCCTTCCTCAGCACCATACTCACTCATCCTCAAGACAACCCACGACGACGACCCCTGTTCCTTGATCGCTTGAGTCTATACCTCGAGCAGCCATGTCGTCACTAAAAGTCTCTGAGGACCAGCAAGGATCCTTTCGAGCACCATTCTCAAATCTCGTGAAATTCCTAGAGAAGAGCTTTCGTCATAAGGGACCGGTGAGGTAAGCATTCACTTTGAACACTCTAAAGCAGACGACTGAGTTCAACTATATTAGTATTCCAAACGAGGTCAAGAAGCTATTCCAAAACCCGATTCTGCCTGCCGAAAGCTCTCCTCTTCGCGATCTGTTGAAAATACTCAACAATGGCCGTCCAAAGAACATATTGCGCCTGGATCCTGAAGCTTTCAATGGAGTTGTGTCGATTGTGCTAGATTTCCCTCACTCGTCGATACAAAACAAACTGCTCTACCTCTTCATGGTCCGAGGTGAAACTCTTCTGGTAGACCTGTGCTCATCAATCATAGGACACAATACGACAGTATAGAACTGAAATCAGGTTCGACGACCCAACTCTCTTACAAATTCAAGCGGAAAATGCCACACTACACAGGATGCAAGGACGAATGGACAACCTAGGAAAAGTATTGGCTCCTTGTGTCCTGCGCCATCTTGTGTGCCGCGAAAAGGATATCCAATTGCGTTGGAGGGTATTTGATCTTCCTGTGGAATATTTGGGTTGCTGATATCATACAGGCTGCTCAACTGCTCTCGTTGATACTTCATCTAAGCGAAGGCGCGGAAGAACACGTCACGCGACTGGACGAGTGGTAGGAGTACCAACATCTCGAGCTTACCTTGCTGACCTATGTTCAGTTTCCTCTTGGTTGATATTCTTGAGGTAGAGGAGAGCTCCTTCCTTCGCGTCTTGGTGGCCGATATTGTCCGAAAGCTACTTTCAAGAGGAGTCGAACGAGATTTCTTCAGGAATGTATGCAGCACGCCGAGGACGATAGACGATTTCCCCGTAGCGGCGAGTGCCGATTCAACATGGATAGACAAACTGATCAACCACTTGAACGAGATTAACCCTACACGAGCCTTCGTCGGAAAGTATGATCAACTTCTCCATTCAGAAAAGCAGTGAACTAATGTCAAATAGGTCCGAACAAATATTCAAAGTACGGCAGCTAGATTGTGGAAGCGACACGTACTTGGAAAGTTCATCCGAATTCATTGCAGTGATTACGAACGAGGTCAATTTTCTCCTCCCCAATAGATCGGATATTCCGATATTGATTTCTGTACCTATCACGAAAGATATGTCTTTCACTTCCATCACACCGGAATCAGACTCCGCATCATCTTCGCTTGTCGAGATCCATTATCCCGGAAATGATGGTTATAGAACCGTTAACGGAAGCAAAAGTGCTATTGACACCATCACGTTGGGGTTCTTTGATGCGGAATCGGCAGAAGCTTTCTCCCGGTTGCTCAGAGAACAACAAAACAATGATACATCACATTCAATGGATAGCGATCCAAAAGTGGAAGACGTTCGGTTAAGGGAATCCAAGAAACATTCTATGGCGCTTATCGACGTGAGTTGGGATTCTGATGATGACCAGTCGATGATCTCTTCCAAATCGAAACGAATCCGAAAGGAGACTTCTAGCGCTGAAGTCTCGTCGCCACTGCACAATACCTTTTCCCCAACTCTGCAAAGGAAAAGTTCCCGCACCCTGCCGCAGAATCTGCTCTCAATCTTGGGATCGAACGATGACTCTGGTGAGGATACGCCATCATTGAAGAGGCCTCGGGATAGTCGTCAATTTGTCGAACGCCTGCGTGCTTTGCAAAAGAACTCAAAGACCGTGAATCCCAAGGATGTAATTGGGCCGCCAAAGGCAAAGCTGGCAGAGAAGAATCGCGAGGATGGATCAGAGAAGCTGGTGCAACATACGATACAGCGCAGGCTATTGCTTCACTCACAGACGACTCCAACAAAGTCGACCCGTACACGCCTACCCTCGACTTCAAATCAGTCTGCCTCTCAGCGAACAAAGATTGATTCATCATGTACGAAGACTACGGGCAAGACAACCACAGATCCCGCCCCTACATCAGTCACCAGCTCAGCGCAGAAAGTAGATAAGGCCCAGAATATTGCAAGAGAAGACAGAGTCACTCGCAACACTCAATGTGTAAGCCACCAGCATCAACAAGAATGGAAGAAAATGTCTAGTCTGGCTGAAATTAAGCAAGACGAAAATAGTCATTCCTCGAGGCCTGAGTCGCGAACCAAAATTGGCCTTAAACGAAGATCTTTGAAAGACGCCAGCTCTAAATCCAAAGATGTGGCTGCCGCCGACGAATTTGACCTTCCGTCGGCTGACGAAGAACAGAATCGATCGAAAAAGAAGGCCAAAACAGTCAAATCTAAGCAATCGGCGGTCCCAGCAATTACCAATGCTTCTGAGAAGAAAACTGGAACCAAAAGGCAGCGAATTCCCGGGAAAATCGGCTCAAAAGGAGCAAGAACAAACCGGAGCCACTGAGGTCTCCCGACAGGCCGAAACAGAAGACTGCAGCTTCGACGCGAGCCAGACGTGTTACACATCCCCCAAAATATGTTGAAGATTCTGATAGTGGTGGGTCAGATGTTGGGAACGGAGCAGCTGAGGGGAGAGACGAGTTCGATAGCGCCGTACAAGGCGAGTATATTGAGGGGTGCGCTGAGGACGCATATCAGCTCAGCAAAGGAGAGTTGGATCATGCCCTATTCGCTTCAAACCCCCGTTTTGAAGCGAATCTGCGGGACATGACCGATACATCTGATCGAGACAAGCTGCCCGCCTAACACCAATACTCGCCGAAACTTGTCGTCGGGTATAACGCTTCCCCCCGGCGCCGAGCGAATCGTCTCAGTGAAAATTCAATACCTTCAGTCTCCGAAAGAAAGCTCCGCAAGATATCAATTGTTCATTTTGATTCTCAGGGCCCGACCATCAAGCTGTTTCGTCAAAAGTTTCTGCCAATAATCATGTCGAGAGTGGTTCCTTGAAGAATCAAGAGGGACAAAATCGACATGATCGCTCAGACATCTTGTCCAGATCTCCTAAAACCAGAGAATCACAGACTTCTCTTGCGCATGCCCTTAGTAATGCTGTTAAGGACAATGCTCAATCTCTTTTTTTGGTGATGCTATACAAGACGTAGGAATCTCAGCAGAAGATATGGTGGCTCACAATGATGAAGCGCATGATGGTCTACCTGTGGGTAAATCCTTGGAAGGTGAGCCTTCCAATTACTTCGCATCGGAAAATGACGAGGAGGCTGTGTAGCCGCGTGAGGCCCCAGATCCGCACAAACAACAGAGACGTCCTTCAGATGAGGAGAATGATGAGCATGGGAAGGCAGAAATCGCTAGGGTACCCGTTCGAAGGTCCATCGGAACCAGTACCATCTTGGACGAAGAGTATCCTAAAGTTGAAAGTGCCACAAACTTCCACAATCTACGGATAAGATTTTACCAAGAAGTTGGGAACAACGCCTCTAAAGCTACTCAGACTTCTGCAATGAACATCCTGGTTCCCGATGTTGAGGTCAACCACACCAAGCGAAGTGCAATATCAAAAAATGTGTCAGGCTAGGGACGTCAAAAAACGGAATCGAACCTGGCCCCCAAAGCGACAATGCGTACACAGCAAATCGAAACCATACCCCCTCCTCCGTCTCGAAATGCCCCAGACGAGACTACCAGACGACTTGATCATCCTCGATTGTCTTGCCCTGATCCACCGCCCAGAACTGGTAAGGAATCAGCAAAATCGGCGGTATCTGCACCCATTCGAGTAAAGAAGAGTCGACTGCTGGCCAAAATCGAGAACCTACCTGAGACTGAACTTCCACCTGCAACATCTCTCTCTTTTCGCATACACTTGGGAGTCAATGTACCGAAACTGAGCAAGGTGCAAACTGAAATTTCATCTTCTAAAGCAGCCGAGGGGAAGGATACGACCAACAGACATAGCAATGGAAGCTTAACCCCGATAAATGAGAACGATTCATTCGCTAGAGATGGGTCAGCGCTGTGGAAGAGAATAAGTCGGCAATGTTTGCAATCCACCGATAACATGTCTCCAGTAGCTTCGCTTTCTGGTCTGAGAGGAAACAACCCCGCTACAACAGAATGCATGGCTCCAGAATTAAAGGCTCGGGAGTCTCAATATGGTCTCTTAGACTCGATCATACAAATCACCAATGTAAGATTGGGACTTTTCCTCATGGGAATTTGCTAACAAATTGCAGGATGTATTGTTTCGATTTGGGGAAGAGGAGGACGCCGTCAAAGCGATTGTTGGTCAATTTCGTCGAGGAGCGCATGAAGTGGTCGAAACTCTGACGGCCAGCTGGAATGATCGTCTGGGACACGAGCATCAGAATCTAGCGAACGGGCTTGTTGATGAAAAGGAGTTTTTGGCCAAAGCATCACACCTAGTTGGAGAACAGGACTCGGGCTCGGGGAAAGAGGTTATTTGCAGTGATGATATGGCTAGGAAGGTGATGAAGAAAAGAGATGAGTTGATTGCGCAGATCGAAGCGTTGAGGAATAGAAATTGGAGGGAAGACCGGGTCTGAAGCGGCGGCATTCTGAATCGAGTCCTTCGTTTGGCCAAAGGAGAATTTGAGGCTTTGATGCAGAGCTGTCGTCAACATCCTTGATCTCAACTGTTATTCGACAATGTTGATACGTTATTGTTCGGAGAGCAAAGCTTTTCGCTGATGTTTTACCGAACTCACCGGGCCTTTAAATCTTTCCTATAACCCTTTTCATGACGGTTATCCGGATTTCATGGTCTCGTGTCTCGTCAAAAATATCTTCCAGGAGCGCCAGAGCCAATAATGAAGCCGGAACCTCGATTTTCTCGACCATACAATTCCCCTCAGCGTCGACGACGACACCGTGATATTTTTCTCGATCAAACCCAACTCCCCCACTTTGTATGTTGTAGGTTCACTGGCGATGATGACATGTCTCCCGTGTTCAGATAGCTTGTTGCTTACATTTGGATTAGACACACCCAATGGAAGGTCGAGGCATTTCCGATTCAATGTGATGCCAGCTTTTGTCGACCATTATGCACCATTAACAAAACAGAACAAACCGTATTGTCGGCACAAAAGTGTTCGAGCAAGTACCACACAAAGCCACACCTATTGGCTTCAATATTCTTATCACGGCAGGAGGCGACGGCGGCAAAGGCAAGATGTATGGTACTACTAGGATAACAAAGCCTGCAGATGGCTGTCATAGCCCCGATCATTAGAATCCACACGCCCAGCAAGCATGGCGAAGCGAGGAGATCTGTATGGTCTATTGCCTTGATACCGGAACAGTAAAGTGCAGGTATGCGTGGCTGTGGTTGATTGAAATCCACCAGCAATGGCAAGGTCGCGGCCGGAACAAATGCCCCTTCACTCAGTATTAAAGTGCGATGAACAGACGCTTCAAGGAATAACGAGACGACGAGTTGCGGATGGTGTGGAATAAGCCCCAGCGGGCAACTGAAAAGGCTGCCGCGAGCCTGCCTATCTCCTTGTCATATTCCTCAATTGCGCTGTCATTGTTATTTTCGCTGCCGGAAGCTGGAATAGGGATAGTGGTAGAAACAGATCAAGTGGCATGGACACGGCGATGCAAGTCGATAGCGGCCCAGTTGGTTCCGAGAAGAGAGAACCAAGTGTGAGGGTCGGTTCGAGCCTTGGATTTGTTGCACACCTCCCGCGATGGTCCAAAACCAAGCAGTCTAAGTGCCCGGTCCATGAAAACCACTAACTTGAGATATCACTAGAGGATCGGGAGGTATATGAGGCACATTTAGATGAAGCGCAGTCTCCCAGGACGGAGTGGTAGAGATGGAAGAGTTCTCAGGCGCTTGAGGCTCCGCATTGACCCCTGAAAGAGCGAATACGCCGAAGGAGTCTGGGATCGTGCCCATGGCACATGGGATGATAAAGATTCCAAAGGGACGGAAGTTGAGGTGGTTTGCACATGGGTAAAGGGAAGAAACTCTCCTATATCATATTGATTGCTTCTGACATGAGGCCTAGTTAGTTCAATCTCTTGGAGTTTCAGCCTTGCGGCCCCCTTACCAGGACAAAGGTGGAGTAGAAAGGTATTTTACCAAATACAATTCATATCGCCTTGTTCTTCATGTGCTATTCCGTATGGTAGACGGCTCGATTGATTTGTTACTGTAAAGCGGCATGATTTCTTCGAACTCGGGGCAACTTTTTTTTTTACGACGTCAGAATAAGCCTGAGGCCCAATCCTCCTCTTATTCATTTCCGTCACATTGACGTGTATAGTAGATCTCTATTATTTGCCTATTTGTTATAATGTATATTTCAAGCCCACGATATCTTCAATAACCCGCTCGGTATACCTTCTATTCCTCCCCTTGACAAGTCCGCGAGTTGCCCATTCGGCTGGCCCGATTCCTCCCAATGACTTTCCAAATCCCCCAGAATGTCCCCTCGTTCACGAGTAGCCAACGAACCTTTGAAGATACCTCCTGGCATCAGAAGCACAGTAATGGACATGCGAAAGGTGCACCTGCGGCAGGGATTACTTCAAGAATTAATGACATCTTTGGGGAAGACAAGGATTTACCAATGTACAAGGACAAGCCACATTTTCCCTCAAGCCGGCGGAGGCGTCCGTTACAACGGAAAAGAGTTCTCGGTCTGATCGGATCCGTGTCATTACTATTTCTCTGGTGGATGCGCTGGTTACCTTGGAGTTCTGATCGAGTGTATGACCCAGCTGAACATCAACATTCCTTTTTCCATGACGAAGACTGGTCCAAACAAAGGGAGGCGGTGAAGGAGGTGTTCAAGACGTCATGGGGAGGATATGAGAAGTATGCGTGGGGAATGGATGAATATCATCCCTTGTCACGAAAAGGGAGGAACATGGTTGAAGGAGGAATGGGTTGGATAATCGTCGACGCGCTGGATACTGCGATGATGATGAACCTGACTGAAGAGGTTGCCAAAGCAAGAGAATGGATATCGACATCGCTCTCTTATACGGCCGATCACGATGTCAACACGTTTGAAACCACGATTCGAATGCTGGGAGGTTTACTATCAGCTCACTATATCTCCACTACCTTTCCCAATCTTGCACCTCAGCGCGACGATGATGTCAATCAACCAGGAGAAGATCTCTACATTGAGAAAGCGACGGATCTTGCTGATCGTCTTCTTGGTGCATACGACTCGCCGTCTGGCATTCCATATGCTTCAGTGAACTTGAACACCAGTCAGGGAATCACGTCACATCTTGACGCCGGAGCCTCCTCTACTGCCGAGGCAGCGACACTTCAACTGGAGATGAAATATCTTGCCAAAATCACAGGTGAACCAGTGTACTGGCAGCAAGCAGAGAATATAATCAAAGTCATCGATTCGCAACGTCGGGAAGATGGGTTACTTCCTATCTTCATATACCCGGCAACCGGAGAATTTCAAGGCGAGAATATTCGACTAGGATCGCGCGGTGATAGCTATTACGAATACCTGATTAAGCAATACCTACAAACAGGTAAGGTAGAGAGGATCTACCTCGATATGTGGGAGGAAGCACTGGAAGGCATCAAGAAGCACTTGATCACGTACTCAAAGTCCGCTTCATTGACAATTCTCGCCGAAAGACAGCACGGTCTTCGTTTACCGTTGACTGCTAAAATGGATCACCTGGTTTGCTTCTTGCCCGGAACAATCACGCTCGCTGTCACTGAAGGTCAGACAGTTGAAGAAGCGAAAGCCAGGCTTGGAAGTCAATGGACGAAGAAACACGATGAGAATCTCAAACTTGCGGAAGAATTGATGAAAACCTGCTGGGGAATGTATAAAGTCACACCGACGGGCCTGGCCCCTGAAATTGCCTACTTCCTCACCGACAATCCGCCTCGACAATGGGAAGGCCACGTTGATCCAGAATGGTCACCGCCAGAATCTGGTCCCCTTTCCGACAATCTCAGTGCAGATTGGAGATCAGATTATGACATCCACTCTAATGACGTGCACAATCTTCAAAGACCCGAGACTGTCGAATCGCTTTTCTACATGTACCGAATCACCAAGGACCGAAAGTATCGGGAATGGGGATGGGAAATGTTCGAAGCGTTCTGCGAACATACAAAAGTCGTCGATGAAGTCCTCGGCACAGTCTATGCGTACACTTCCCTGGACACCGTCATGGACAATCCAGTCAAGGAGCGCAAAAGGCGAGATAACATGGAGAGCTTCTGGTTAGCCGAGACGCTCAAGTATTTCTACCTGCTCTTTTCGGATGATGATTTCTTTCCTCTCGACAGTGTTGTGTTCAACACAGAAGCTCACCCGTTGCCCAAGTTCGGCATCAGCGGCAGCAAAGTATTCGTGACGGGATGGGAGAGGAATAAAGACCCGCCTCCGAAGCCTAAGTTCGGGGAACGTGGAGGCGGCGGGAAAGCCAAAGATGACTTTGTACAGTTCAAGGAAACCCGTGTAGGAAGTGACTTCAGGCTCGATGAGAATGGGAAGCGCGTCGAAACAGGATCAGAAGCGTACGAAAATCAAAAACCTGTCGCTAAACCACACGAGCATGAACACGATGATACTATGGATCATGGCCATATTGAGGAGAGCGGGAAAGACAAAGCAAATGGGGACCACGTGATTGTTGGAGGATTTGAAGGAAGACTCAGCTGAGAGCCACACGGGCTCTAAACGGCCTCGAGCCGGATATCAAGGCAAGTTAAAGACGAATCGTGCTAGATGACCCGATACCGACCCAGAGGGAGACAATTTCGACGATTTGGACTGAGGACATGTATGCTGCCAAAAGATTTTGCATTGAATGGGAAAATCCCAGGTCATGAATGTGGCATTACCTCATGAAGCGAGGAATTTTTATTTTTTTTAATTTTTTCCTCCAAAATTTTGCCTTGGACTCAATAGGGACTTTGAGTGTGATTAATCACCCCGGGAATATTGGGATCGCGGTCGGAATTCCATCCTCGGATTGGAAAGGGGGTTCCCCAGTTTGCATTGCATGTCATTAATCTCGATTCCTTTGGAGCTGTTCGCCTGTCACACAGTACAGATGCTTCGCATGGGGCGACGCCGGCGTTACCGGGGTCTGACTGCTTGGGGCTGCATCAAACGGGGGATGCATTGTCGTACTTTTGGCTTCTGCATGGTCAGTCTGGCTTGTATCATACCATATTCTGCACTGGGTTTAGGATACCTTGGGACATATGGTGTTCGAATTTGAATTGATGGCTGTTAGCCTGACAAAGGCCAGGCGTGTTTGACTCGTTCAGGCTGATCTGTTCATATCCCAGCGTCTAGACGAGTTTAGATGCCACACTGTCTTATGTGTTGTATGCCCTTGGCTCATTCAATGAGCTTCCGGTGTTCTCTACGTCACAGACATTCGTTGGTTGGGATTGAAACTCATCATGTCTCGGCCTCTGGACCTGGACAGCTTGGAGGTGCGCATACTCCAGTCTGCCAGTTGGAGTCTGAGATGAATTATCATCACTCACTCAGCTGCTCGTGGGGTTAGGAAAGCATAGGCCACAGGCATAAGTCCCAAATAGCTGATTGTGGAACGTCTCGCTGATGTGGTCGGGGTCAGAACTTCGGTCCTCGCCGTCGTCCGGTATATTTTGAATCGGCCTTGACAATCTTGCCCTTCCCTCTCATCTTTTCCTTCCTCTTCAGAACCCATTGTTTACTTCCCTTGGCATCTGCGCCGTTCTTTTTCCCTCTTTGCATTGCGTCTCTGATTTTCCTGCCGTCCTCAATGTCAATACCCTCCATCTTGGCCACTGCTCTAGTGATATCGCCTCCCCCTACACTCAACACAAGATATGTCTTGACGTTCTTCGTCCCGCCATCGTCTTCGAGAATGCCGGCGCCAAAGCCCGCACGTATGGCAGCTGAGCTAATCATGGTACGCTGGTGCTCGTTTTTGGGGTAGAACTGACAGACTGCCTTCCCACCTCTTCGTAATGACGCGTAAAGACCGTCGAAGAACCTCCTCAATCTTCCTTCAGGACTGACACCGCTGGTTTCGGCATTGCAAAGCCACTGTACAGCGCTGATGCTAATGGCAGCATCAAATGTACCCGCTCGAAAGGGTATGCCCTGACCCATGTCCGCCAGAAACAAATCTCCTTCGACATCTTCTCGTTGTAATGCAATGTCCAGCATACTGGGCGATATGTCCATACCTACCCATATGTGGCCGTCTTCAGAAAGGATTTCGCCTGACAGACCCGAGCCACAGCCTATGTCTAGAATGAGCGACGGTTGATCGAGGTCGAGAAGCTCGAGGGCGCGGTTGGTCATGGAAGCCTGGATGGCTTGGATGCGGGAGGAAGTAGTGTATTTTGTGGACTCGGTGTCATTGTAGTAGAGGTCGGGTGGGAGAAGATCTTCAGGGCGAGACATTGTGAACTATCAGAATAAGTCAAGAAGGAACAAATATGACGTGCCAACGGCACATAGTTGGAGTAGCGGATTCATGGTGTTTACACGGACAAACACCGCAAAATAAATTTCTTCTTTGGTGGGGGAAATGTTCTCCAATTTCGTGCAGGTACTTGGATGTAGCAGAAAGTACCCAAGCACCCCCCGTCGGGAGATAACCGCGGATTTTCGTACCAAGTTTCTTTACAGTCTTCAACCTTTTTCTCCCTCATCTAATCATGCCTGACAAAGTGCTTAGAATCTTCAGGCGACCTCCCAGAAGGTCACAGTTGCGGCCCGAATGATCGACAATGGCATCCAGCAAGACTACCTGAATGGTCACAGCGGCATCATTTTGACAGTCTTTTGCATTGTGTCCATTTTCGTTATCTGGCCTGTACATATCCCTCTCCCTTGGTATTTGCAACGACCCATCCTGCTTCTGCTGAGAACGACCCGAATAATCGCCGCAGAGGATCACGACCGCTTATCGGAGCGGCAGCTCTATTTCTCATTATCGCTCAAGACAGCGCCGGTAACTGGAGTGATTTTGTTGCTGGCTACAACCACCATCAATGGCAGCACGATCAAACTTGGAATCAAAGGCGACGAAGATATCAAACCATACGATGTTTTGGTTCTGTTTATTTCGTTCGTATGCAGGGAACCCGCCCATAACCAGGCGTGAGCTAATGACCATAGGCCTACATATCAATCGCGCTTGATGGAACTGGTGCTCTAGAAGCAATTGCTCTTTGGGTCTCTAAGCGAGGGGGCAGTTCAGGCCGATTACTGTTCACCTATCTGTATACGTTTTTCCTCCTGACTGCATGCATCGTGGGAAACGACCCCTTGATCCTCTCAGGCACTCCGGTGGGTCGATAACAATCCTCGTGATTGCCAAAACGCTGACGGTCCACCAGTTTCTAGCATACCTCACTCATCACACTAAAATTGCGCCTGAAGCATGGATTTTCAGCGAGTTCATGGCTGCAAATACTGCCTCGGCGGTTCTCGTCTCTTCAAACCCTACCAATATTCTCATCGCCGGGAGCTTTTCGTTGAATTTCTTGACTGGTTTCACCAAATGGACCATCTTGCCATCCATAATCCCTGCAATTCTGACCTATCCGATTCTGATGATCATGTTCTGGAAGAAGATCCCCAAAACTCTGACCCCGATTACAGAGGACCCATGGTCGAAGCTCCGCGACCGAAAGGGTGCAATCTTTCTGAGCGCCCTCATGCTGATTACTGTCGCTGTCCTGGTCGGCACAAGCTTCGTCCCCAACCATGCAGTCGAGGTCTGGATGGTGACAATGCCAGCAGGTGTCTTGGCCTTTATTTTCAATGTGGGAAGAGATTGGTGGGATCTGCGAGGTCAAAAGAGGGCTGCAGAAGAACAAGAGGCCGATCAAGCTGCAGCACACCAACACGTTGACAGAAGTGGTGTCAGGCGGAGTCAAGAACAAAAACTGGATGATCTTTGCAAATCGAAATCCGAAGGTCCCGATTCTTCGCCTTCGCTGGAGCCCGAGGAGCTGCTAGCTGATTCGGAAACTGTTACTCTTACCTCGGTAATGAGACGCCTTGCTCGCCGTTTTCCAGGAACGACCAGGACGGTCGTGCGGTTGCCAATCCCACTCTTACCTTTCGCCATGTGCGAATTCATTCTGGTCCGTGGCATGCAGCAACGGGGATGGATCGGGATATTCGCACGAGGATTTGCCAACGCCTGCACCGATCCTGCAAAGACCGCCTTCTTCATGGGATTTGTGAGTGCGGCATTCCTGTGTCCTCTAGCGGGCACCAATATCGGGGCCACGATCATCCTGGTTGAGATCATGCGAGATCCAGCATTTTCGCAATCGCCAGCCGTGCTGGCAGACCATCGTCTGCTGAAGGCCGCGATTTACGCCGTCGCGATGGGCAGTAACATTGGCGCCTTCAGCTGGACTTTTGCAGGGAGTCTTGCTGGATTACTGTGGCGAGGTCTTTTGGCGGACAAGGGTGTCCATGTCAGTCAACTCAAGTTTGCTCTTGTCAATACTTTTCCCTTGTTGATGCAGATCACCATCTCGTGTGCGATTGTGCTTGGAGAGCTGTACTGGTTCTCATGAATGAGACGGATTTTCGGAACGAAGAATCATATATATTGCTAGATGGGGTTTGCGAGATTTAGATTATAGAGTCGCCCCAAAATATCCGAGCTAGGATGATTGCATTCATCCTTGTGCAGCCTTGCAAGGTCACGGCTTCTGTTTCTGCAGCGACTCGGCTCTCGAACGTTGTGATGCACAGGGCACCCATTGACCTTGAAAATCACATATTTCACTTGACATCCTGGCAAGGCCGTGGATTTGTCTCGATAAGGCCCTCGCTGCTACTGATAAGCGTGTCGAGACATCCAGTCTGTGCTAGCCTAGAAGCAACCCAATTTTCCGACCTAGCCTTACCACACTAGGCGAATATAACCCTTTCGCGCCCTGAAGATCTCTCGTGGAACCAATGGAATGAATGGGGTTGCTTGGATATGTCCGAAAAGCGTAGGAGAGAATCTGTACCTGGTATCATAAGGTGATGTCTGTTCCACCGTCCTGTCACGGGGCGACCTGCACCTCTACCCATCAAGGTCTTCATTGATCTTCATGTCGAGTGCTATTCCATCACTTGCTCCAACTTCTGCCCTCATCCTCCGTTGTCTCCTTTCCTCTCCCTAAACAATACACTAACACAGCTTCTGTTTCACGCCATCCCGCCATGAGTCTTACAGGCAAAGTGGCCATTGTCACCGGCGGCTCACGAGGAATCGGCGCCGGCATCGCGATTGAACTCGCCAAACGCGGCGCCAACGTCCTCATCACCTACGTTGCCAGTCCTGGTAAAGCAGAGGCTGTAGTCTCCACGATCAAAGCCGCAGGCGGCGAAGCAGAGGCCATCAAGGCCGACTGCAAAGACAAGAACGCGCCAAAACTCGTGGTCGATGCCGCGCTCAAATTTGACGGCGGGATCGATATCATTATCAACAACGCCGGTGCGGGCGATGAGATGATGCTCAAGGATGCCACGTACGAGCATTTCGAAAAGGTTGTCAATACGAATATGCGATTCCCGATGTTTTTGGTCCAGGCGTGTTTGCCGTATTTGAGAAGGGGAGGCCGAATTGTGAATTTGGGCAGTGTTATCGGGAGACAACGTAAGTCCGGAATTAAAGTCTTGGATCCTATCAAGGTCCCGATCTTCTCGTGATGGACATTGAGCATGGGTATTGACGAGACAATACCATGCAATCAGCATGGTTAGGAAATACCGTCTATGGCGCGACGAAAGCAGCCATGGAGAGCTTTGCGAGACAATGGGCATTGGAACTGGGCCATGAGTACGGCGTCACTGTGAATAATGTCAACCCCGGACCTGTAGCGACGGATATGATGGCGTAAGTCCCTTTTCTCTTCAATTAGGGTGCACCACCTTTCATAACCCGTTTTCGAGGTATCAAACAAGTTGACTCACCCCTTTTTCTTGCACGACATAGCGAGTCATCTCCGGAAATCCTGGCTACCATGGAAACGTACTATAAGAACACACCTGCAGCGCCGAGGACCGGTGAGGTCGATGATATTGTGCCTATTGTGGCATTTCTCTGTGAAGAGCAATCGCGCTGGGTGACTGGGTCGACGACCTGTGCGAATGGCGGTGCGGTGTTTGTGTAGAAGACCCTTGGCCATTAGGAAGACCGTGGTTGAACATTCATTTGCCGGAACTCATTCAAAGGCACCAGAGACAACTTTCTCCTTTGCAAAGAGTTCCCAGGCTCTGACGCAGGCAGCGCCAAAAAGGCCTTGAAAATTGTAAAGAAGAACTACCTACGGTTATATCAAACTGAACTTAGGGAGTCTTTTTGGTGAGGAGGTACCTTTACGAGTATAAGATCTGGTGCCGCTGCAATGGTAGAGAATATGTTATCAAGTTTGCATTCCCGACGGAGATCCGGCCTTGGACCCGCTGCGCTGGAAGACACAATCACCTCACTCAATCTACCACCTAGACGACCTCGTACCATAGGTGAGGACATGCTCGGAAATTCAACGCCACTTGGAGGGAACGCTGCTTTGGCTTAGCAGCGACTCGAATGCACCAGAGAGGCCACCTTTCTTCCTCTTCGAGGCGCCCCACCATGTCGCTAATGCTGTATATCCTATTAGTTGGCGACCGGTGAGGCGGACTTCTGGCTCTGAAGTGTGGCCTGACAGGGTATGATCTTCGTGATTGGACAAGCGTTTGATTGATCGATAATTTTTGTACTGGTCCATGATGCATTTTCTTCCCGTAACGAATTTCCCAAACTCAGCCTTACCAAGTCCGAGTGAAATCGAAACTACATTAACGCCAACGAAGAATAATGTCATCTCTTGATCTTTTCATACAGGCGGCATGTGACAAACTTTTACAATTCAGTAGACAAGATATAAGTCAAAGTTCCGCGATGCTGCTTGAGCCCAAAAAGCTCTACTCGCAGGTTCTTTTCTATCGTTGAACATCTGCATTATCTCGCGGTCCGGCCGTGGAACCAAACGAATATGTGCTACTCCATAAAGGCCAAGTTCGGCCTCTGGTTCTTGAGACAGGCATGAAGCCTGGGCCGATGCGACTTCGCAGATAGATTGTATTTTGCATTTTCAGCTTTTCCAAATGTGTCCCCTCCGTTCCTGAATTATGACCTCCGTTCATTTATTTGATAGTTCAGAGTCCCTACGAAACTGCAATCCTGTAGACGCATAGCGGAGAGAGCAGAAATGATAGGACGGTTTGTACTTGAGTCTTTCGTACCTAAGGCAAATCTCCAAGAGACTTCCACCGTGTCTAGCGTTCTCCTCACGATGTACCACCATTCTACTTCCCATCTTGTCACAAGGCGTCATGCTTCCCAAATTCTCTTCAAGACCGAAGTCTTTCAATTTGCACTCTCATACCAACCTTCTGAGATCATTATTTCTAATTTCAAATTTTCTAGAGCTTCTCACCTTATCCAATCGTCCAAGAAACGTATCTCGTCCTAGTCGGTTCACCACAATGCATCGCAGCAGACCAAACAGAGTCACCACCCTCCACGGCATCGGCGTCGATAAAATGGGAGACATCGCCGACAAACAGAAATCAAACCAGCCAAAGTCTTCAGACAGTCAGAAACATGAAAAATTGCTACGCCTCGAGAACCTCGACGTGGATATCCCACCCGACCCCATCGTAGCACAAACGACTTCCGCCGCAGCCATCAGTGACGATGATAACAGCTACCTACCATTTCTCGGGCAGCTGGAGCTGCGAAACGCAGTTGCCGCGCATGTGAGTTCCATGACCACCGGGATCGTAGAGTACACCGGTGAGAAAAACTGCATCATCTCTGCGGGAGGCCTGAGTGGGATCCTGAACGTGTTGCTGGCCACGGTGGAAGACGGCGACGGCGTACTTTTAATGGAGCCCGTGTATGCGGGCTTGTTGAACCGCGTCCGTCTTGCAGGTGGTGTTCCAGTTCTGGTTCCGTTCAGCTTTCATGCTGGGCAGTCGTGGACTTTGGACCTCGAACGGTTGAGAGAAGCCGTGGAATCTTCGGAGTCAAACATCACGACAATGGTCCTGATGTCTCCGTCCATGCCGACTGGTGCGTACTTGCATGAGCGAGATTGGGCACTGATCGCAGAGTTGTGCGTAAAATATGATATTCTGCTCATCCTCGATGCGGCGATGGAGAGGCTTCTCTTCGACGGACTACCAGTTATTCATCCGGCGGGTCTACCTGGGATGGCCGAGCGAACGATCACTATCGGCTCGGCATCGAAGGAACTGCGGATGATAGGTTGGCGAGTAGGATGGATCGTTGGACCTGAGCAAATCATGCAAGATGTCGCATTGGTCTCGATGGCGAATGTGGTTGTGCCAGTTGGGATTACGCAGAAGGCGGCGAAAGTAGCGCTGGAGAGATCTAAGACGACACTACAAGAGTACGTGAATGAATTACAGTTTCGGCGGGATCTGGTAATGGAGGAGCTCAGTGGGTTACCCTTTGGAAAGCCTGATGGAGGTTGGTCAATGTTGTTGCGCGTGGATACGATGAATTGGACGGCTGATAATGCTGCGGAGGCTCTTTTGAAAGCAGGCCTCTGTGTGACTCCGATGATGGGTTGGGGGACCAACGATGAGGCTCAGTATATACGGATTGTGTACTCGAATGAGCCACGAGAGCGATTGAATGGGTTGGGAGTGAAGGTTCGACAAGCTTTATTGGGAGAAGATAGAGTTTGATCGAGAAACGTATTGGTGTGTATATATATTTACTTTCTCTTTCTCTCTCTCAAATCAAGTGGCCACCATGTTTAAAATGTGTAGAATTTGTGCCTTCCCAGTGAGTGTGCTGAGTCAATGTCGTGTCAGGGAACTAGTAGTGTCGTCGAGTAACGAGCAGATAAATCAATCTATTACCCAGGCGCGAGTCTTCGGAGGACATATGCACTAGGGCAGAGTGCAAACCGGGCTCGTAACTCTTGTCACAAGGCCTATAGATCGGATTGAAACAGCAAAACTCGTACGATTGGACCTTGGAGAAGGCATACGGACAAGTGTATGTAGAGCGAGAAGTCCCTATTGAGGGTCCTTGAATTCGCCACTTGCAGCCCCCGACTTTGCCATCTAGAGTCTGGACCCGCTAGGGCAACAATCTGCTTTGTTGCTGGTATACTCTAAGACTGTAAGAAGCTGTAGCGTATTACTATTGAAACCATGCTGTCTCGTGTGTTTCTGAAGTGTAAGATGAAGCTAGAGATGTTCGAAAGGCGGGACTTATATCGGGGTATGATTGAGTCTCTCACACCATTTGCGGCTGGCATTCAGTGCAAGCAATAAGTTCTCAAATTTCTTCTCCATATTATGGACTCTGGTTGCATGTCCGTCCACTGTCCAGGCCCTCACAAGAGTTTACACAGGGTATATTGCCAAAAAGCGTAGAAATTGGTGTGGCTTCTCATTTGACCACTTTGTGCTGGAAATGGATTGCAATGCAGAGTCTTCTACTCTTCTCAGTACTTGACGCCGTCGAGATGCGCGAAAATCTCTACATCTGTACTGCAAACAACCCAAACGTGGCCGGCCCAGTTACCCTGAAAGATATCGATGGGAAGTCCTAACCGAAAATGTCCTCCCCTGAATCCACAGCCTCGTCAGTTGAGTTCCTATCGTTGTTGCAAATATCGCTTGGACAACGGTTGAATGAATGAAGGTGATTCTAATTAGTCGTACCACGTAAGGAAGGTGTTTATCCAGCTCCCCCATAGATGGTTTCGGCTGCAGCTCCAGCTCCTTGTCATACCTATATTATGCGCGGGCTGGTGCTCAGACTCTGGTCGAGCGCATGTGGTCGCGACCCAGAAACCGATCGTCGCTACTCCACACTTCCACGAGGCATATGCTTCCCTTTACCTGACCTCGAAGCAAAAGACTTTTCCAAGCCGTGTTCTGCGAAAGACATGCGAGATAGCCTCACCTGTTGGATGATCATAATCTCTACCCCCGTCGGTAGATCCGGCTGTGAGGAACACTTTGCTGAACTCTTTGAGTTCCTTCTTGGGTCGGTTGATGCTTGGATCATGTTGTGCGAAATATATCTGGACAACTTGAGTGCATCCCTGTTGGTGTGTCCTAGGTGGGTATAACTAACACCGGAAAGACATCAAGGTGCAGCCAAAATGGTGGCACCAGAATTTGCTCCACTACAAAGAACGACGCGAACAAGGCATAATAAAATATCTCATGAGGTCTCACTTACTACAGTCTTGAAGAGGATATCAAACAAGGCTACCAAGGCTCTGAATGAGCGAGCAACATTTCACCACGGGGTGAAGAGGGTCATGAAAACTGGATAGAGAGGAAGGCTTGACAGTGTTTTGAAGTCTTTTTGCACCATGCGGGACCACGTGGATCATAACGAGTGGCTTGAGAAATTCTTCCTCAGGCGGAGGACTGTATCTAGACATTTGTGCAGCATTCTGGAAGTAGTTTTATACTGTGGCTATGCAAATCCTGCCCCTCACCCTGGCTGGCTCTGAGGGCGGCCTTGAGCAGCTTGAACATGGCTGAGGGAGCCCGGGACCTCTATATGAGTGCCGCCGGGCTCATGACTGGGCGTGGTGTCTCAGTTTTTTTTGTTGGAGGGGGGTTACCCTATCGGAAGGCGTAGCCCTCTGCTGGGCCCCACGAAATCCATACCGCTAAGCAATCGGCGGGTCGCAGTCGTGAAACTGATCCTGTTGGGTCTGTAGCATTCCCTTAACCGGGCGTCCATCCAAATCCCATCTCAAATCGACAAGCAAAACACATAATCTGGATCATGGTTACGGAAAATCTGCATTTAGCCACCTGTCACTCACTCCTGATACAGACCCCAACGGACAGCTTCTGTCTGGGACACCATTGACATCTCGTTGAAACAAGCTCCCTACTAAATATTTCTGTGTATGAACTCAACCGCAGACCAGAAGCGCGCGCTTCGATGACCAACTTCAAGCCATATTGGCAATCAAGACAATTTACAAATGCCATGCCTTAAAACAACAATGGGCTGGCATGACCTCAGACAGTATTTGTTCATAGGTGAGCAGCAATTCATAGATGGGCGTCGTTGCCACATATATGGACTCTTTGGATTCTTTCGTTCCCCGACACAAATTACCGGCTTTCGCACCAAATATTTTCTTGATTGCGTATTGTTTCTGATTCGTGCTTTTCCAGTGAAACAATGTCGTCCTCTCCGCGCTTTGATTGTGGCTCAGAGTGCACGAATAAGCACGGCCATGCAGTGTACAACAATATTCTCAGAGTTGCGGATTTTATGCTACAAGACCCAGACAACGTGGTGCTTAAGCGGTTTCAATACCTCCAGCTCGTACATCTTCTCTCGCTTCAACATAAACTCGCAGACTGTGCGCGAGATATTAAAAGATATAGGGATGGGGCAGGAGTGAACGTCATGGATGGGGTAATGGAGAGGCTGGGTCTCCTGTTGAGAAATTATGGTAAGAGAATTTTCGTGACGCTCGATGCTCTGAACAGCATGTTGGTCTGACACATGTCGAATTTTAGATCAAGCATTGGCTACATATGAGCGAATTCAATGTCTTCAGTCTACGCCACGTTACGTCCGCAAGATTCTCCAACAGAAGGCAGATAAAGACGAAGCCCCCCAACTCAATGTCGAATTAAGGAATGAGGACGGATGGCTGGATCTGGTGTCTATCGCAAGTGGAGCTGACAAGGGTGTGATCCATAGCTTTGTTGACCGCCACAACCACTGGCTTTCAAGGCTCTATAGGAAGGTAAGCAAAACGGCATTTACCCACCATCCCAAGCGGCGTTCAGATGTCGAGGAAACGGGCTCTTAATTCCATCATACTGACTCGGGCACCGGATTGGCAACCCCTTCAGAACCGAGGACAAGATGACGGCAAAGTCGATCTGGAAGGAGCCTCGCAAGACAAGGCATCCAATCACCGATCGTACATTGGTCCACCGACAAGATCCGATCCAAGTCCATTTTTCTATTACTCCGAACAGGCATTGAGGTGGACCGAGAACGCTATAATCAGCACGATGATTTGCATCCTGATAGTCGTACCCCTCTCCACCTTGTCGTCAGTGTCCAGCAGAATAGTCAGAGTTCTAGTCGTGGCGCCATGTGTATTGCTGGTGTTCCTACTTTCCCTCATGCTTTCCCGACAGACACAGAGGAGCCACATGACATTGATGCTAACGTGGGTATCTTTGCTTCGTCCACCCAGCTTCCGGCTTAATCTCAGCCTTTTCGCTGACGATTTGGTTGCCTAGGTACGCGGCGGTTATGGTTGCCTTCCTCAGCGACGGCTCTCACAAGTCCTAAATGACATTTTGATCGGTAGAAAACCTGGCGTTGCTGGTAATTTGGCGGAGCTCTCCTGTATACTCTCAATCTCTTCGGATGACAAGTTAGATTTGAGGCTCGCGATGACGGGAGGGAAGTCACTTAGGCTACATGCACTTTGGTAAATTCCATAAAATTGGTGATCATGCATAGCAGAAGCACAGACTCACACTTCGCTACTCCTCCCTTTTAGGTTGTTCAAGCTTTTGGTATTGCACCCCGCCATCACCGATCAAAACCGTCATGTCTTTCTCATCTCTGATGTCAAATTCAGGATTGACAAATGCAGATCTCCTGTCAATACAAAAAGGAGTTGAATCAGGGAAAACACGAAGCTTCCCATTGACAACTCGAGCTTGCATGACTGACCGCGTCATCCCTGTCCGAATGAAATAGCCGTCTTGAGTAATTTCAACAACGTAGTGGTGATCATTCTGTTCGTACTTCCCAATAAAGCGGAGTATCTCCTCCGTCAATTCGGGGATATTTTCATCCGACTGTTCAATGGGAGAAAGAATTGACTGAGCCAGCGGGAGATCCTCTTTTAGTACCTTATCTACAATGTCGACATGTTCCTTCAGCCCGAACACGTCTTGCAGTACAGCTTGACAAGCGTAATCTGTGAAGTCAAGTGGCCCAGTAGCATTTGAAAAAGCTATGACGAACATTTGGTAATACGCCGAGACATAGAGGCTGCTCGTGAATCCGTCATATGTACCTCCCTTATAGAAAACCTCGACCGTTTCGGCAGTCTCCGCATCTCTTTGTTTCCGGTCAGTCCTACGGAGAAGTGGTCGCAAGGCTTTTCGCTTCTCTTTCAGCCATGTTTTCATTCCTCTGTTGGGCTGGTCCTTGTTGTGTTCTTTCTTGAAATAGGCCTTTCCCAGCTTGTAGGAAGGGCTAGCACCCTTGGGCCTCGAATAAACATTCAAAGAGTCCGAACCGGGCAGATCTGAGTCCAGAGCGCCGCGAAACCCAGCCGGTGTGACAGCTATTCCGCTATTCCAGCGGCTGAAGAACAGTGCAGCCACTTCAGGTTTAATGTAGCAATCTTGATCTCCAGCTCGGGCCTTGAAAAGTTCCCGGAGTAAGGTTGAGAAGTCATCTGTACAGCTATAACACCGGAACGCGGCAGCCTCCATATCGCCCATCTGATCGTCCAATTCCTGGACAGGAACAACATTTTTCAGGCTTGAAGACACCCGGTACCCTTGCTCGACAGCTTTCTGGCGAAGCCATTCGTGCAGTTTCGCTGGGTCCATGGTGGTGTTTGTCATTTTCAACGGACCAAGAAGCTTCTCCTCTATGATCTGACTGAGGCTCTTGTTAAAAATTTCCTTCAGCAGGAGCTGTAAAAGAATGTAGTTGCATGTACTGTATGACTCCGAGATTGGATGCTCCATTCTGTTGGCCAAATTTGTTCCATGGTTTAAGAAGTCTTCTTCAGAAGGCATGAATTTTCCGTCATAAGAACGAAGAAAATCCTTCATTGGCGGGAGCCCTTGAAGATGTAAGAGGACGTCTTCGACATTTGGATCTCTTATGAGACTTGGGACAGGATCTTTTCCGTGTTTCTTGCGATATTTGTTGAGCAGCTCATAAACCTTTGCTTCCCAGTCAAGGTCCTCAGCCTCCTTCTCCTCACCATTGCCATGGATCAATATACAAATGACAAGGGCAATAAGAAGCTTCGCGAGCGACGCTACCGCAAACTTCTTTTTACCGTAGACATCGTCGACGATGAAGTTCTCGGTCGATCCGTGGACTTCTGGGTGCACCCGTTGCGAGGATGAGGACGAGGCCGTCTGATCAGGGGGAAGGGTGGATTCAGAGGCGCCCTTAGGTCTGTTGCCAATGAATGCTATCGTCTTGGATAAACTTGGTGTCTCGACCCGGAGGCAAGTCAAAGGGATACGAAGGGCTATCGCCAATTCCGACAGTCTATCGAGACATTTGATCCCGTTAAGGGTGGGCGTTGCTGAGGAACTGCCTGAATCTGGCGAATTCATCATGGCACGCTGAAAGAAATCGGTAGAGAAAGGAATGATTCGGGCCTGGAATGAGAAAGAGAGCTGGGAGAGGAGGAAATACTGCGGATGGGATGATGAGACAACGTTGATGGGAGCAAAATGAAATGGCGGGCACTGCAGACTGGAAGAAAAGACACCATCTGCGGCTGTCCCCGAGGGAAGACTTTCAAACAGAGTATGCCAATGCTTTCTATGAGTTTCATCCTTCTTTCGCAGGTTATCGGACTGGCCCTCGAACATTACCTTCCCAAGACTTGTATTTAGCCGGACAGTTTCGGACCCTGACGATGAGCAATGTCGACAGCACGAAAGGAGGCGCGATCCTGACAATGGAACCATGCCATCCACAAGCTGTACATGCAAGATTAGACTCTGTCGTGTGCCGCTAGTCCTTTCAGACTTTAATTTCCGGAGCCGGAAGACTCTAATGTTTGTGCACGATATTGACGCCTGCCAATCTTTCAGACGATCAAATAGCTCGGGCGGGCCCGAAACTGTCTTTTCTGAATTCCGTCGGCGATGGGCTCGATTGCACTGGCCTCTGTGAGTGACTCTTTTCGCCCAGGAATACTTTCAAATTCGGATAGATGCCAGCGGCCTTAGCACCAGGTGAGAGATTCCATGTGATATTTGTCCCTTCAGCACCCACAAGCGGGAATCTCTCAGTCTGAATACGGTCCCCATAAGTGGCTTTCTGTTATAGTCAACTTCGAGGCAGCTTCTGAGAGGTGGCCCGTAATTTACCTTATTCAGTAAGAGAACGTCCCTAATCGAGCTGATGAGGTAGGGATCTAGGCTCTGGGGAATGGCAAATTTCTTTTGCTTATTCAACATTGCGGATTCGGGAAAGACATACCATGAATAATGTGAATTATATTCGGTATAAATCTCGGATCGGTTGCGGTGCTGGCCGCGTTGTTGACCGTTTTGATGCTCTGTGCCAACTAGATGGACAAGTTTCCACGACATTTCTTGACGACCTTTTTGATATGTTCGCAAGGAACAGCGGTGGTCTCATTGAGTCTCGTCATTTTCACCCTCGTTGAGATCTCGAATCGTTCTTCGGGGGCATATTGTTCCTCGGCACCCCTGGCGCATCTCATATAGCAGAACCCGGAGCTTCAGGTACCGTTCGACAGTCGCCGAGGCCTTTGCTAGGCTTTTCACACCAACCTGGGCGTGTTTCTGTCATATGTGCTGCGACGAGAGCAATACCAGATTCGATTGGAACAGAAACAGTCGACTGTGATGCCCGAACAAGGGTGATAAATCCTCAACAAGCCTCAAGAACCCCGGGGGAAATTAATATGCATTTGTTGCTTGAGGGTCTTAGGAGTGTCGGACAAGAGCATCTCTGGTCTGCACACTCCGGTCCATGTTGGGACAAAATGCTAGGCAGATTTTATCGAGAGCGGTTGATAAGGTGAGAAGGCTGGTTTTCTCTTGGTAGCAAAGCGAAAATCAGCGGCAGACATTGGGCTCTGGCTTACGGCCAGGTGCATGAGGCTTGCAGAATGCAAGCCATAAGGTACGTGACATTGTCACATTGGCTAGATGACTCTGTGGTCACGCGTTCATGCGTCATCCGAGCACGCGTCTTTGCTTCTTCCGGAGTTTGGGTGTTCTCCTATTGATAAGCAGGCTATTCTTGGATATGGCGCCAGCGGGCCCTGTGTGCGAAGATCGACTAGATATATGACTTTGCTACCTTCATCAAGCCAGAACCCGGATCCATCTGCTTCACACATTTCTGAAGGCGGATTGCGAACTTGTGTTCAAAAGATGTCCTCTGGCAGCACTGGCAGTTCTGGTAAATTTCAGCCTAAAGGACAAGAACGGATATACGAACCACCACCATCTAATGCATTGATCGTACATCAAAAGATTATGGCAGCCGAGGAAGCGGAGAGAGCTGCTGCCAAACGCGCTGCGAGCGCGCAAGGAGCAGAGACTAGAAATTTACAGCCTCAGAAAGGGGAACCCAAAAGCAGGAATAAATCAAAGAGGGAGACAAAAATGGACTCGAAAGAAGCCAGTCGCAAACGTGTAAGTCAAGAGAATGACAGAAGCGGAGAAATAACCTCATTGAAGTACGCAGGAGAAATGTGTCCTGCTTTAAGGTCCTGGGCTGCAACAAAAGAACCTGTTGAAGCGAATCGAAGCGTGTAAAGAGATGAGAGGATCGGATGATCAGACTTGGCAGAACGTAATATCTTTGCTCTATGACAGAACTATGCCGGGAATTTGGATCTTAATTTAAGAAGAAACATGGTTACAGAAGCGGTCCATCTCCTGTCATCAAAGTCTCCGGGCCCTGGCGGGCGAGAGGCCCGGGCCGAAATCTTGGACCAGAGCCCCAGAGCCGCAACTGTAACCATGCCACAGGTCTGGGCTTATGGGTCTCGCAAGTTGCGGCTCGGCTGCATGGACTGTCCGAGCAGGCTCCTGGTCGCTGCTTCGGATATGGACGAATGGGGACTGAGATCACTCTTCCTTGGAACATTTTCCCAGTTTGAGAGACAAGTAGATGCAGCATATGAAAATATGGGAAAAGCTTCAGTCCTATTATGAGCTCAATGTTCAAGTTCGACAGGATTGCAGTAGCTAATTTGCTCTGCCTATATTCCGGGTATCGTTGGCGTTTTGATGCCGTTTTGTCAGGTAAACCATCGATCTCTTCAGTCACCATGCTCACCCTAATTGACGCTCGAATTCATCATCAATAGAACGGAACAGAGAATTACTCGTACTTCTCACAAGAAATATTGAGCAACCGAACTTTCATCTCTTTCAGGGTTCTGTGGGTTCCCCCCTTTCATCAAGCTCTCCAAAGATTACCGAGCTCCTAGGCATCTTGCCGAGCTGGTGTGTGAGTTATAATAGGGTTTGAGAATCTATCTGGACTTCTTCGTCACCATAACTGCAGGGGATGGTATAGCCTTGCCCCCGCTTACGATCACGTGCTCATACGAGGCTGAAAACGCTTGAACTTGCCTCACGTTTTTCTCCAACCGACGTCACATGTCACTTTACCTGCGTTCCTCCCCTTTCGCCATCCAGAGTGACAAAGTGGTCTTCTACCCCCTATTGTCCACAAATGCTTACTTTATAGTCTTCGAACTCGGCCACCGCCATTTGAGCAAGCTCACGTTACCCAAACACGCTCTTTTCTCCCGCTATCTCCCGGGGAAAAATGTACCTCCTTCCCCTCCTCGGATATACTGGCCTCATCCTAGGCTTTGGATTTCTTACCCTCTCCATTGCCTCTGGACTCTATTATCTATCCGAACTCGTCGAAGAACATTCTGTCTTTAGCGCGAAGTTGCTCAAGCGTCTGATTTACGCCGTGGTAGTTGTACAACTTCTTTTGTGGTTAGTCGATGGATTTCCCTGGCATCTGACACTGCTGGGTATTGCTAGTCACGGAGTGTACTCAACAAATTTACGACACTTCCCAATCGTCAAATTATCCGACCCTTTCTTCCTCACGAGCTGCGGATTGGTCATGCTCAATCATTGGCTATGGTTCAGACATTTCAGTACGCCTGCGGGATACAAAGGAGCTCCACCAAGCAGTAGAAGGGATTGGTACTCGACTCCAGTACATGATCAACCCACCTTCACCGAAATCGCATCATATTTTGGCTTGTGCGTATGGTTGGTCCCATTTGCACTATTCATCAGTTTAAGCGCAGGAGAGAACGTCCTGCCCAGTATGGGTTCAGAATATGCCACTGGTGAACGAGAAGGGGTCGGGTTCAAGAAAGGTCACAGGAGGAAAAATACCGGAATGGCAAAAGCAGCCGTCCATGGCGTAAGAGAATGGTTCACCGAGACCGGGGCAGTCATGGGTCTTTGGCAAGCAGACAATGTTCGGCCAGTACGAGGCTTTGATTGAAGCCCAACAACAAAAGAAAGAGCTGGCAATACCCATGACATGACCATGTTATCAATCCGTACGTCGCGACGGATTAGAGCAAGATCCAGGAGAGTATGAAGGACTCACAATTGGAGACCAGAAGCCAGATGTCTTGCGTGAACGAATTTCAAAAGGCCCCGGATGTCTTGAACATTGCTTCTCAGAAGATCAGAGGACACCTCGAATGGAAAATCTTCCAAAGCAGGCTAACGAGATTCTGATTTTTGACTCGTTCTCTTGGAGAAATTGTCATGATTATACCATCGTCTTCGATGCTGATGGAGGCGCACGACACCTGAATATGCCTGGCTAATTACGAAACTACTTTTGGAAACACCGGCCCTCTATTTCGGCCAGGGTCCTCGTTCACATGAGACGAACTTGTTCATACCATGCATCAACGCGATCAACTCCTACGGACCAACCAAGAACAAATTATTCAAGTGGGAACGAAAGTGATTCGGCATAGTCAATCTCCACGAATCGATGAAAGAGATGAAGTGACGACGGTATTATCTAAGCTGACGATGAAGAGTTTGGCCGAAGAATATGACATGCTACCTGGCTCGACTATGGAACAGTGTGACATCTCGATCTCCAGCGGTTTTGTGGAGAACTAACCCCAGACAAGAAGCTATGGAGCACAGGGGATATCATAGCTTACAAAATCCGAGAACTGCTTGTCCTTGCCAAATCCTAATCCTTGAACCTCTCAAGTCGGTGAAACGGGCCAGGGTCAAAACAGGAAAGCTCAGATGCCAATTCATCCCAGAGGAGACGAACAAATGCAAACCCAATCCCTCTTTTCTCTGTCATCTCTCTCCCATCGGGGTAATTCCAGCCCATTGCTATTGTGATTGTAGAAAAAGTCCGAAATCCTCACACGACGCCTGTCGTCCGTGCCTCCAGCAGACTATATATCCTCATTTCCTGATCTCGATGCCCTTCTTCTCCCTTCGACATCGGAGTTCACTCCATCGTCCATTTCCCACCATTGCCCCATCCCATCTCAATACCACATATCAGACGTCACATACCATGCCATGACCTTCCATACCATAAATGACACAACAAAACATGATTCTTACCCTCCTTCAACAGCAGGCCAAAACCTCCTTTCAATATCCAAAATATGTCTCCAGACTGCCTTGTACACGTCAAGCTTCCTCGCGACCGCATCCTCGCGCTCGGCCAGGAGATCGGTCAATTCGGCAATTTCTGCGACAAAGGCTTCAAATTCGGAACTCGTCCAGTTTGGAATGAACGCGTTGCGAAGGGCACCGCCGTCCAGATCCACGGAATGCGGGTTCGTTGTCGGTGGTGGAGTGCCGTTCCCACTTCCGTTCCCATTTCCCGGACTACCAGATCCAGACTGGGCTCGGGGATGGTGTTGTAATTGTGGCGGCGATTGTATCTGACTCACGCCCGACTCGGACCTGGGACTCAAACTTCTCGACTGTTGCGCCTCAGGGGCATTGATGAATGAACTCGCATAGCTCCATGCGCTCAGGTACACAGTCTCAGTGGCCCAGAGGACGACGAGACCCTCGAGCAAGCTCATGCTCGGATCTGTACCGAACGCGCGGAACAGGTCAATGTACTGCTTCGTGGCCGGTTCGGCTGTGAAAACGCCATCTGCCCGACTTGGGGCGTCGAGGGCGAGAGAGTACTTGTGGGCCGTGTTCGTGAAGAATTCGAGCTCCCGGTGGATGTTGCTCAGGGCGGAAGAGAGCATGCTGACGATGCGCCAGCGGAGGGACGTCGAGTGGTCGTGGATCATGACATAGGGCAAATCGACGCGGGAGATCAGGGCCCCGATGAAGCCGATATAGGATTGGGCGTAGAGGCGATCTTGGGAGAGCCAGCGGGAAAGAGCGGGTTTGGGGAGTGTTCCGAGGCCAGCGTGGCGGAGGAAGGGGTGTTGAGTGGCTTGGGTAAAGGATTGGGGAGAGGAGTTGAGAAGGATACCGGTCAGGGATTGGGGGTGGGGGGACGAGGGTGTTTGTGGGTGAGGTTGTGGATTGGGAGAGAAAGATTGTCGATAGGAGTTGGTATGGGGATTTTGACTCTGAGAAGAGATATAGCCGCCGTGGTTGGGGTGGGCCTGAGGCGGGGAATTGTAGTCGTTGCGGTTGTTGTTGAACTGGGAGTGGTAGCTATTGCCGTTGGTGTTTTGAGCATGATGGCTCATAACACCGGTGTTGACGCTCGATACAGACATCTGATCGCTCATGGTAGAATACCGGTAGTTGTAAGGTGAAGGGCCCTGTTGCGGAGGGAATTGAGGTGAGTTGTTCCACATGGTGAAGCTCTGAGATCAGAATATGTGGATGGCAAGACGGAAATGAGCTTGTCAGAAGAGAGGTCTCCGTCCTTCAGGGGGACGAGCTCTTTCAACGAGTCCCTATATCTCCCTCGACGTCGCAAAAGCGAAGCTAGATGGGCTCCAGGCCTCTTTGGTCGCCGATACTGAGCTTTCGACCTGCTCGCTTGATTGGGCTGAAGATGCAACAAGGTCGAAAACAGTTTGTTTTTCGTGGAAGATGAGATTCAACCTCGCAGGACGAAGAGCTACCAGCCCCAATTACGTCAAAATAACTCGCCGTAAGACAACCTGGCTCGAGTAAAGTGACGAGAGATAAGAATATATCGTACAATGATGTATGAGGAACAGCCTGCGAGGCAAAGAACAACGGGGGTCCTGACCTCAAGGGATGAAACGGGAAATACGGAGGCTGACACGACAGATAGAAGTCCGGTATCGTATCCGGCTTCAAGGCGCCCAATGTTGAATCAAAGCCATTCAAGGCCAGATGATGATGAAAAGCTTCCGATCTTGAACGTGATCACGAAGTCGGGAGATACTGATAAAACCCGTGTATTTCCACCCCTCGACACTCAGGAGCAAGACCAAGATCGGTGCCGCTCGCTTTCGCTCCAATAACATACAAAGACAAGCTCCAGCGCGACCCCTCAGACCATAGATTCGGGGACAGGTCCTCAATGTGGGGGCCAGCTGCCCAGCCATGTCCACTGAAAGATGTCAGGAATAGTAAATGACAGGTTTGCGCTCTCCCTGTTCTAGAAATATGTTTCCGTACACTTGTTTTGTGGTTTCAATTGATCAGCCAGATCAGATCATCAAGGTCCCTCGCTTGATTCAAGTTTCCAGGTCCAAGACTCAAGCGAATCGCAGAGGAATCCGTCATTGATAAAAGAAGGAGCCGAGCTTGGTTCCTAATGACAACAGAGTAAGAGGCCACCCGGACCAAAATAATACCAGAGCGCGAGCCTTGTCCGCCTATAGCGATTGTGAATTGCTAACCGGGGCCTTTTTAGGTATTGGATCACCTGGTAGACTGTCCTATCTATCATCACCATTTGCCCTTGGAAGGTGAAAGAAGGGTTTATGCCCTTAAATCCGTCATCTCCTTGAAACCAGTGTTATATATACACTTCAGCTGAGCCCTCATTCTCACGAACAAACCTGCAAAAGACTCTCAACCAACGGTCCATCACCCAGCTCATCATGCCTCGCATCTTCCTAATAACTGGCACCTCGACGGGGTTCGGGAGGTTCTACGTACAAGAAGCCCTGGACCGAGGTGACATCGTGGTCGCTACGGCACGAGACCCATCCCAACTCAGCTTCAACGGCACCACCGACTCGAACTACCTCGCATTGCGCCTGGACGTGACGGACAAAGAAAGCATCAAGACCGCCTTCGACGCGGCATTGGCGAAATTCTCCCGCGTCGACGTTGTGGTCAACAACGCCGGATACGGTCTCGCGGGGGCTTTTGAAGAGTACACGGACGAGCAGATCCGAAAACAATTTGACGTGAATTTTTTCGGCTTGCTCGACGTGACACGCACGGCGCTCGCGGTTATGCGAGACCGTCAGAGTCCGCCGGGCGGATTGATTCAGCAGATCACGAGTATTGGTGGGCAGAGAGGCGTACCATTGTTCAGTGCTTATTGTGCCAGTAAGTGGGCGGTCGAAGGGTTTACTGAGGCACTGAGCCATGAGGTCAAGCCTGAGTGGGGGATTAAATTCACTTTGATCGAGCCTGGTGGGTTTAGGTATGTGCTCAACTTCGGTTTCATTCCCTATCTCCCCTTGAATCAAATTCTTCAAAGACGAGGATGGTGGTGGTGGGCGAGACATGAGACATCTCCACACGGAACCCTTGTTCGGGATTCTCTCTACACAAATTGACTCCTTTTCATCTCATTCCCCTTCTGGCTCTTCTACTGACACCCCTTTTTAGAACAGACTGGGCAGGCCGAAGCATGGCCTTCGCTGACCGCCATCCGGCGTACGACCGTAAGTGCATCAACTTCAACCTTGACCCCATTCCTCCATGCCATTTCCCCTTCTTCACCCGCTCACCACTTACCAAGATCCTTTTGATCTAGACTTGAACGCCGTGGCAAGAATGTCCGCCCGACATGGCCACCAGGCGGGCGACCCCGTCAAGGGTGCTGAAGCCATGTACAAGTTGGCCATAATGGCCAACCCACCGTTGCGCGTGGTCATCGGCACCGACGCATACGCTGCCGTCATGAACAAGGTCGAGCAATACGAGCAGAATTACAAGAAGTATGAGTTGTTAAGTAACTCGACAGATGTGGATGGATATGAGGCCGAGTAATCGGAGACAGCCCACAGGACACAGAGGAGATCAACACATACCGTGGTCATCATAGAGTAGAAGGGGTCTGAGTCTATAGAGATCAAGATTCGCAGAGAAAATTGGTGAAAAAAAGGTTCTCCCATTCTCTGAATAGCTAGATCTTCACGTTTGCCTGGTCGATGAATGCAAAATTTTCGAATGCAGCCCTCCTTTTTCCTTGGGCCTCGTCCCGTGCATGGATTTGCTTGTTTGATGAATTTTTATTTAGCCAGGGGCTCCTCCCCTTTCTCCTTCCTCCCCGATTTAAAGCTCATAATGTACATATACACATATTGTAGAATGTAACTGCAAAATAACATCGTCCAACCCGTCAAGTCAATTACATTCATTCCAAGTCCTGATCCTAATCCTATTCCCATCCCGCGAGAACCGTCACACTTCATCCGTTTCCCTCTTTTGGGACCCAAGTCATTCCATCATTCTACCTTCCAACGCCATAACAACCTTTTCAAGACAAAGCCTATCCCTGCCCCTTCATTGATCAAAATGCGGAAGAGGAAAATGCAACTTAAAGGGGGTATCTGTAACATGTCCAAGCGAAATGCAAGAATCAGCTAAAAACCCATCAATTTAGCCCCGGTCAATGCATTTTTATTTGGTACGGCTCCCGGTCTCCATTCCGGGGGGATTCCACTTGGAGACGAATATCTCTCTTCTTTCAAAATTCGCTTTTCTTTCGCTTGGTTGCGAATCGTTATTGTTGCTCAAATGCCGGCTTATATTCAAACTCGTTGCTGTTGCCGTTGCTGTTGCTGGACTTGTGTCGCACTCGCGAGTTGATGTTTGAGAGAATTAATCTCTTCTTGCATGGAATTCATCCTTTGTTCTAAACTGGCCACATATGCCCAAATTCTATCCTCCTTAGGGAAGATGGGATTAGATGCTTCTCCACTCCCATGGCCCGAGTGTCCATGGCTGGACAAACTGTTGCTGTGAGATGATAGGGGGCCACTGCCACCCATATGCGTCGGCGGGCCGCTAGGTTGAGTAGGAGGATGAGCCGGCCCACCTTGACTTGGTAAGGTATATCTCGCATCGGGAGGATTCAGTACATGGGGAGGAGGCAACTGAGGAGCCGTAGACGGAACACTTAAAGATGATCCTGTCCCGCTGGCTCGACTGTATGATGGTTGTTGATAATGCGTCATGGTGGGAGATCGATTTCTATTCAGACCACCTTCACCCGAAACAGAAGCCCGTTGTGTGTGGCCCGGGGACAAGGGTTTGGGACTTTCGGTCATGGGATTGGATGCATAGACTGTATTTCCCGCGCCTGAAGGCCGAGAACTGGGTGAAGAACTAGACATAGCTGGAAACGGTAACGGGCCAGCCGACGCGGCCGGCGCACTACTCGGTCCCGAAGTTGACGGATTAAAACCAGCTCGAGGAGGGAAAAATCCACCGGCTATACCTCCTGGAGGACGACCCTGGATCGGAGGGTAGGTGCTGGGAATTCGAGAGGTATGATCCGGATCGTCCACGGAGTCATCTCCCGAAGGCGCTTGACGACGAATTCCCGGTCTCTTGTCATTGCCTTCTTCATCATCCATCGTATCCGGTTCATTATACACGACACCTTCCATGGAGTCGTCACCTTCGGCATCTTCGTCACCACCACCAAAACTACCCATGCTGGCCCTCCGACCGGCACATCCACCCGGGCCTTTGTTGTGACGAGCCAACGCGTCGCCTCGAGCAAACTTTCGTCCGCATTTGGGGCAAATGTGGGGTCTCTCGCCGGTGTGCAGTTTGGTATGTCGTTTGAGGTCATGTAATCGCCGGAACCTGGATTGACAGGTGGAACAAACATAGGGTTTTTCTTGGCTATGTGTTAACAGATGGCTCTTCAGATTGTGATGACGAGTGAATTCGGTGGCGCAGTAGGGGCATCTGTGCTTTTTGCTGGAAGGAGATCTTGTACCTTGTCGTGTGCCAGAATGAGGCAAGCTCATCCCTCGTCTAGCGCCTTCATTTACTTGTGGTTGCAACAAAGGGGCCGGATAAGAGAGCGCCTTTGAGCCTTCGCCAGGTGAGGTAGAGCCCGCCTCGGCGGCATTCACGACCTGACGGACGGTTTCTTCGATGGGAAGTGGGCTTCCCACGGTGGTGGTCATTCCCGAAGCCCCGGCCACATTTTCCAGCGTCCCCGTACTGGATATGCTCGTGGGACTGGTCTGAGCCGCATGATTGTCACCGGTAGCAGAACTTTCCGTAACGGTCATGGCAGGTTGCCGTATATTCTCCGCCACCACCGCCAAAGGTTCGCTGACCGTGGTGGCCGGATCGGGCGATCTGTCTGATGTTGTTTGGGGAGCCTTGCTCATGACATTTTGGTGGGCGCCCATCAGAGCGTTGAGGACTTGTTGAGGAGGATTGGGACTTGTCCCCGGAGAGGGGGGCGAGAGAGGGACAGAAGTTTTCGGTGCTTCGGCCAACGCGATGGCGGCAGTCATTTGAGGCGGTTCCAGTCTTGGTCTCTTTTCGGGTCTTGTTGACGCTTCAGAGTCGTCCGAAGAGGCCGTCTTGGGCTCGAAAGGGCTCTTGGTCGGACTCGTTGGTTTATCGAATGTAGAAGAGGCCAGAATAGAACCCTCTGGGGATATTTGAGGATCCGTACTAGGCTCAGCCATAAACAACGTGATTCTCCACAATAACCGCTGCGGCCTGCATGAATGTATGGTTAGCCTAGATAGTCTTGAAGGTCAAGGCTGAAGTCCCATGCTCTTGATCAGTGTCGTGTGTTCCGGAGAGCGAACGAAAGTGGATTCCCCCAAAACTGTCCAAACAGATAAAGGATGCAGGATGAAGGCCAGCAGAAGTTCGATTTCGGGCGCTTAAGAACGGCGTACCTTGTGTGAGGGCATATGTCGAAAGCTGTCAAGATTTCGAGCTAAAAACAGAAAGTAGGCTGAATCCAGGTGAGTCTTTCAGCCTCACCTGCGGCGGGAGGTAGCCTTGGTGGACGGTGAGTTAGCCGACTGGCGCAACGGGCGCCGATATATCTGGTATGTCTATCTCTTAGATATTTGACGAACGAGGATGCGCAACATGGTATGACGCAGCGCGGCTGCGCAGGGACGATTTCGACGTTCGAGTCTGGAGTGAGTGGGTTTCAGTCGCAAGACGGATTCCGCCGCGGCGACGAGTGCTTTTCAGATAGGTATTTTGCGGGATGCAATCGGCCAACTGTTTCCTTTGATCTGGTCAACGAGCGTAGTCCGCCTGTGATTGTTGAACGATGATAGGTTGGAGAAAGCGAAGGTGTGTGTGAAGATCGCAATTCCCAAGAGCTGCGATGATGTTCAGGGCAGTGTAGAAAATAGTTTTGAGACTTGCGCCAACCGCGAATGCGACAACTGGGATGGGTTTGGAGTCGAACGGCAAGGCACGTAGAGCTTTGTTAGGTCTGTTGGAAGGACAGGATGCGTGAAGGTGGAGGGCAAAGGGAAGAGAGGGAGGGATCACTGAAGCGATGAGGTTGGAGAGAGCCAAAAACAGCCCGCAACCCAGCCAAACAATTTAGTTTGGGTTGAAGCGAGGCCAGTCAAAAGCTGAATCGACTCGAGTCCAGTGGCAGTGGCCGTAGCCTCGAGTAGTGGCGGGTGGTAGTCGAGTTGAAATGACGCCGATTAGATTTCGGGACTACGGATGGAATAGTCAAAAGGTCAACGGTCGCCTAGGGCATGGATAAGGGATTGATTACTGGAGAAGAGGAAAAATGGTAGAAAGGCAGAAAGGCTGAAAAGGACTCGAGAGGGGATGAAAGAATGGGAACCAACGGCACACCAACCAGGGTGGTTGGTGGTGACAAGCAATGGTTGGAAAAAGAGTAGACGGTGATGCAGATGGACACGGTATTTCCTGTTCTTTACTAAGAGCCCAGTCGATCCAGTGGCCCAGTCAGTGGCTGCGTGGCTTATATGGTTGGCTGGTGGTCAAGCAAAGTGGTGGAGCCTGCGGTGGAAGGCCTTTCTCCCTCGCTTCTCTCTTCGTCTTCCTGTCTCTTGTTCGGTACGGATATGTGTGGGGCCAGTTGGAATGTTGCGGGAACAGAAATGTCACGGACTCGGAAGAACTGGGAGAGACGAAGTGGATTGGAGAAGGAATGATGGACAGGAAGAAAAAAAAGAGGCGCAGGCGAGCAGCTGAAAGACTCGAAAAAAGGCTGCTGCTGCGAGGACGAACGAGTAGCGTTTGTGGGAACGTAAGTGGCCCTCGTCGGCCTAGAAGTGGCTTGCTCTGGTTTGTTATGGCTAATAAAACCATCGGGCTGGCGCTAGAAGGATTCAGTACCCGCCAGCACAGGAGGGGGTTAACGGTTGTGCTCGTGGAAATGAACAAATTGTGGCAGTGTTGGCGGTCTTCGGGCCCCCAAGATCGACTAAGTGAGGCTGATCAATTTTCCTTTGCTGGGTACATAACGAGTAGGCGCCGGTGCTCCCCTGTGAGGCTCAAATGCACAACGAGATGAACATTATACTTAAAGGACTCCTCTCATCTGGAAGACCAGGCTGGCCTTTCAAGGCTCGTCCATCGTTTCTCTGCCATGTATCCTGTCAACCACCCGTATACTACTGCTACAGAATCGGCGTCTGCTCTGAACCATCTCTCTCCCTCCCCCATAATCCTAGTCCCGAAGATGTCGTCGGTGGCTGGTCATCCAAGCACTCTGGCCGCCCCATCAAGCTCCCCCTGTTCTCCCTACCACTCAGCAATCAGCATTTTCACCCGAGTTACTTTTCTCCAAAAGTTGCCCAAACTGCAGCTTCCCCCCGCCAGTCCCGATTGCCAAACGTCACCCAACAAAAACCCTGTGAACACTGTTGATTTGCTCCTCAAGCCTCATCATCAATCATCCCCCGTGCTTTTTTCGGCTGAATTCGTTTCTATTCCTCTTTTGGTAGTTCCTTCAATGTCCATCTTTGTGGCGTCAGCTGCTCACTTTCTTCTCCACGTTCGTGTGTCCCCTCCCTACCCCGGCCTCAGATGACCAATCGCAAGCTCATAAGGCTAGGCTCTCAGGAACAGGGCCATCCTCCTCCTCCAATAACCTGAAGCTCATATCCACTTGTAGTCCCCACCGGCCTAACGAATCTCCTGATCACACCTCTCTTCCGATGATCCGCACGGCGCACTTAGCTACAAGCCATTTGACACGCACGACTCGATGATAAAACGCCTATTTGCTTCCCCATTTTAGCTAAATCTTGAACCCCCCGTCAACCCGTCACGTGAGACAGGTTCCAGGGGCCGCGACTTCGCGACCTGGGTGAAACATTCTAACGGGGAGTATATATAACATGTCAAGAGAGAATACGCGTCCATGGTTCGCCCATGGTCGACTTGCTAGCCGATGTACCCCGTGTTATTGTGGATGGTCACTTTCTCATCCCATGGGAATGAAATTGCTTTCTAGCCTTTTGCTCGGTAGACCGGATGATAAGTCGCTGGGACATCCAGCCGTGTCATCCCCCTCGATGCATGAGGAAAGGCGTAGATCTCGCCAGATAGATAGATATGTCTCAAGATAGTTCCGGGACCGAGATAGCGTCCCCAGGTCGAAGGTTCACTCTCAACTCCCTGATTTTGCTGTCCGCATCCTTCAGAATCGTCAGGTTCCTCCCACGTCGATCGAAGCATTTCTTTGCTTGGCTGCTTCCAGCGCCTTCTTAATCCTGTCTTGGTGCTCAGGATCGTCTCCGATTTGATCAATGACCTCTCGAATCAAGGTAATCGCCTCTTGGGGGCCTTTGGTGACACTCCTAATTCGAGCATTTGTCTCCTCGATCAGCTTCGTGTCCTCTTTGGCCTTCTCTTTCTCCAGACTGTCGTACGTCGCTTTGTCTGCGTTGGCCACCCGAGCTTCCGCCACGGACACAGCATAGTCCGCATCATTCAACAGAACATCTGCTTCGTTCGATAAAGCAAGTAATCTGCGTGAATCCGCCACGACGATGTCGACCACATCTTGGGCCAGTGACAAGGTGTCTCGCGGTCCCTCTGGTTCGTACAATTGGTCTTTGGCAGGCCCATTTCCAGCAAAGATGGCCTTCTTGAGGTCTTGTAGCTTGGCAAGCACATCATCAATAAACATCTGGTTGTCTCCCAAGGCACGAACCGTGGCTCGATCAAAGGTGTCCATCAGTTTATTGGCTCGACGATCCTTTTCACGAGCTTCATGCAGAACTTGCATCTTTTCTGCCACTGCAAATTCCTTTTCCAACCTCTTGACGCCAGCCGTATCACCATTGGTGTAAAGGACCGTGAGTTCGAGATGTTTGCGTCGTCTTTCTCGTTCCACATGAGCTTCAGCAACCTTTCGATGTCGGATCTCAATCTTATTGAACAGGTTGAGAACACAATTCATGACTTCGGACATTCGGGCCCGATCACCGTTACCTTTCAGACAACGGCTCACGGGTTCGCTTTCAAGATCGAGAAGATCAATGGCCACGGTATAAACGGTCATCAACTCGGCAATGTCTCTTTGGAGCCTCTCGGTTACGGGAGCGAACACTTGGGCAGTGAACGATTCCAGTTCTTCTTGGTTTTCCCGATATTTCCTCTCGGCTTCTACCAGCTTGAATTCGGCCTCTAAATCACCAATGTCCGCATAGCCAATTTCATTGTCATGGAAAAGAGCGTCAATATGTGTTTCCGATTCTTCCTGGCGGGCTTGTCGTTCAGCATCTTGTTGCTTTCGTACTTCTCGATTTGTTCGATCCCACTCGACCACCGTCTCGTGAATGAATCCAAATTGGTCCGGAACCGCGTCGATCTTGCTCTTGACACTTTGTAATTGAGGATGTGGAACAATTTCAACTGATGCATCTTTGGGTAACAGCGACCGCAAAGCCGTCACGGCCTGTTTTAATGGGTCTGCCAATAGCACATTCGCTGGGGTGCCTACCCTCACAGCCACAGGTGGCTCAGCTTTGGAGGCAGTATCGCCCAGGCGGATAGGTCCAGGAAGTCCCGGAGTTGTCTGCCTCACAGCCATGCTTTGTTTTCGGATCAAGCCAATGAAAGCTTCCTCATGTTCTTTCCTGCCACTGGTGGAGGATGGTCGGGGCGGGGTAAGCAATGTCTCCTGGGCCATCAATCGACCCGAATCTGCCACTGAGTGCCTCAATGAAGAATATGCTCGGTCTGCCGGTTGCAGTGGTTTGGTCTTCTCTTCCTCAACCGCCGTACTGTAGCGGAAGGGCGTATACGCCGGTCGAGGAGGCTCAAATTTGATGGGCACCACAGGTTTGTTGGCTTGAGATGGTCGCCCCGGAGAGGGTTGGGAAGCTTCGGGCACTACAAGAATCGGCGCATTGATGCTTGGAGAGCTTGGATCTGGCATCACGTAATCTTCAATGACCATTGGCGCATCTGTGCTGGGAGACGGAGCAGATTCTGGATATTTGGCATGTCCCGTGTCCTGAGTAGTGGTTCCAACAGAAGACTTCCCGGGAGAAAGCGCTCTAACCTTTGTTATCGGACGACCACCTGGACTGTATGCTTCCTCATCATCCCCATCTACGCCAACAGCGGCAACGGCGTCATCCCTTGATCTAGGACGTTGTTCAACCGCTGGCTGGGTTTGCGGTCTGGGCGTGGGAGGGACAGCCTGGGTCGCCGTAGTATTTTCCAGTTTCGATTGCCTGTTGTCACGGACAATTGGGATTGCAGCGGTTGGGACCGGCGCTTCTTTGCCACTGGGCTGTTGCAGGAATTGCTGTTGAACTGGTGGGGCTATCGGCTCAGCGGCTTTGTTTTCGGATCTGATCTGTTCAGATGCCTCACCTGGACCTCCAGCCGCCACTGGCTGGGGCGGAGTCGCTGGGATATCAGCAAGACTGGCAGCCTTTTTGACTTCTTTCGTTTCCTTCTTCAACTCAACTCCATAGAGCAGGCTCCTCAACCGAAGTTCCTTCGTGACGAATGTCTCAAATATGTGGAACTTGCCCTCGTCTGTGTCCGCAGCTGACTCCTTTCTCAGCATTGCTGCATATCGCTTCAACGACGCCTTGAATTCAGGCTCAAGGTCGTCATAAGGATCAACGACCTTGACGCTAGGAATGGGTTCCGGAGTCGCGACGCGTGTAGAAGTCCGAGAATCAGGTCGAGAGGTCGGTTCCTGACTAGACTTTACCTTCAATGGTGCGTTCCAGGCTTGAATGACACTGTCAATGTTTCCTGTCCCATTCATGCTATCCGAACGGACAGAAAAATTACTCCGTTGGCCAGCCGAAGATGGTCTCTCATCGATGTGCGGCGGTGGCGGCTCCGCCTGCTTTGCTGGTGGTTGAGCATGGGATTCTTTCCAGGGTGTAACCGGGCTGGGAGCGCCAATCTCGATTGGAGACGGTGGACGAGGAGTACTCGGTTTCGAAGCCTGGGAAGTCGGTAACGTTGCATGACCCTGAGGTGGCGAAACAGAACCCTGCGCCTGATAGACGTTATTGGCTTGAGGGTTCGGTGGACTCGTTGGTGTTTGCTCTGGGGGCGCTCCAGTCTCGTAGCGTTCCCAATCAGAAGGCCCACCGAATCCCAGCGCTTGTGAAGATCCCAGTTTTCCATCGGGCTTTGGATTGGTGTGATAATTATTAGAGCTATGTCCCGCGGTTGAATGGCCTTGCTGACCCCAGTACGCATTACTGGGTTCTATGGGTGACACCAATGGACCGTCAATTGCTTCAGATATCTGCTGGGGAGCTGGAGCGGTTGGGTGATATGTTGGCCCTGTTGGTGGTGCAGATATTGTGTTCCAGGCATTCTGCGATTGTGGTTCATAATGATGTGAGGCAGGGTGGTGAGAGTACTCTTGATGGGGAATATTGACACGATTGTGTTGAGCCTGTATCTGTGCTTGATACTCTGCCGGGCGCGGAGGCGGAGGCGGGGGCGGAGGGAAAGTAGAGGCTTGAGGAGACGGATTCGAATGATATGGATCACTCCACGAGGTTGGATATTGCTGTGATGGTGGTTGACTGGAAGGATTCGGTGGTGCCTGTGGAGGATAGTTCACGGTAGCGGCATGATCTGGCCGTGGGCTTGCCTGGCCAGCAGCACTGGATGGGCGAGGTGGAAGAGGAGGTTTAGGATCATAGTTCTGTGAGACGAGGCCTTGGTTATATCGGACTCCCCAGGCGGATGTGTCAACCTGCGGTGGTGGTGGTGTTGGTTGCGTCGGAAGAGGTGGAGGTGGGAGAGGTGGTCCGAATGCATGCGAGTTGGAATTGTAGGGGGATCCGGGAGACTGCGATGGAAGCCTTGGATCGGTCCATCCCTGTCTGCGAGGAGGTGCTTGCCATGGAGGTTGAGGCGGACCAGGAGTCTGCTGGGGAAATCCATATGGTTGATTGTACGGGTTCATGGTGTCAGAGTGAGGGGTCGATGGTACAGAACAGCATCAAAGACCGTCCTCTTTGGCCTATTCCGTTCGATATCCAGTTCAATATCGTCACATAAAGGAGCAAACCCGGCCAGGGCTGAAGGGGAAAAAAGGGAACCCATTCTCAATTCGTGACGGCCAGCGCAGCGCGGCAGATTTGCTCTTTTGGGGGCCGGCGCGGCCAGCCTCGTGATTGGGTGCTCATACACGCATCAGTTTCCATTTAACCACGTTTAAATATCTATCGTTCCTTGGAGACAAAAAGGATTTTGATTCTAGTTCCTCACCCTGCTTGCAAACTATGTTGAGGAAGGCCACAATCACGGTGGTAGCGCCATAGCACCACCCGGCACGGCCCTGGAGCGGCTTGTCATCCACCTGTACTTCCCACTATTCTCCTTGTGTTCATCCACTCAGATCTAGGACAACTCTTCCTAGTAATTTGCCCTTGTCCATCCTCTCGAAGACCTCTGTCAATTTGCTCATCGGTTGGAGTTCAAAATGTGTTTTGACTACACCCCTATTTCGCAGGTCAGCACTTAGCCCGTGGGGGAGGGAGAAAGCAAAATCTTACCGTGACGCCATCTCCAAGGTCTCGATGGCCTCTTTTCTGTTTCCAACTGCGCTGCCGACGATCCGCAATTCCCGGGTCAAAATCGTCGCTGGATCTGCTGTTGCAATGGGGACTGGGGCTCCTTCTGGCACACCGACACAGACCAGAGTCCCTCTGAACTTGAGGAAACTTAATCCTTGAGCATATGCGACGTTGCTAGCGGTACAAACCACCACAGCAGAGGCGCCAACACCTCCAGCGGCGGCCCGGACATCTTCCACAAGCTCCTTGGTGCCTTCATCGTCCCGGCCGTATTTCGACAAGTCCAGGAATACCTCAGCCCCGCAATCTTTGACCAATTTTTCCTTCTCTCCCATGTCGATACCAATCATTCGAAATCCCATTCCTTTGGCTCCGATTTGGAGAGCCAGATGACCCAGGCCGCCTCCGGCGCCGGGGATGACAACAAAATCTCCAGGTTTGGCTCCAGTCTTCAAAAGTGCCGCGTACACGGTCACTCCACCACATAACATTGGTGCTGCCATGTCGCTGGGTAGGCCGTCAGGAATTGGAGTGACATAGTGAGCGGGGGCAAGTGCGTATTGCTGGAATGTCCCTGGAGTATAGTATCCGGAGATCTTCGCCGAGGTGCAATTGGCTTCGGCTCCCGCCAGACAAGGCATGCAATTGCCACAGGCTGCAGATATCCATTTGATACCAACCCGATCACCAATCTTCAGGCCCGAGCTTTCGGTTCCGGGTCCAAAGGCAGCAACCGTGCCCACTCCTTCATGACCACCGACCTGACCCTTCTGTGTGGGAGCAGGGAGCCAGGCCCAAACATTGCACATAACTCCCATGTCCGAATGGCATACGCCAGAATGTGTCAAGTTGACCAGAACTTCGCCAACACCAGGTTTCGGTGTATCGATTTCTTCGATCTTGGTCGAGATAGAACCAGGATTGTCATACACCAGGGCTTTGTGCCTGGAGGGTACCTGGACAGAAGCCATACTGCGAAGGCGACCGACGGTCGGAACGAGGGCAAATGTCGAAGAGGAGAGACTAGAAGGTGATTCCCAAGCGTAGGCAAGTTGTAGACTTGGCACAGAAGAGAAGCAGAAAGGGTCCCGTCTCAGACGGCTGGCTGTCAATAAGTATGCCTGGATGATCACATCGGTGCCGAGCGAATGTGTAGATATCGTCCTCAGACATGCCGAATTGACTGTGACTGCTCTGCGGGGTAACAGTGCTTAACTTTGTTCACCGAGTCTGGTCGACCCTACTTCGACCGGATCGAGTCAGTGAGTTCGGATTGCATGGTGGATCAGGCTAGCACACCTCGGTCTGGACGGCCGTTCCAAAATCCAAACTCACGCTGGTCAGCATCAGCTTCTTCGGAATCTGGACAGCCTCGCGACGTTCAATTGTCGACACGAGCAGGTCAACTAGATAGTGCTCGGTATCGGTACTCGAGTAGAAGACTATAGCATTCGATGAGACGGCCAAGCCAAAAGCCTCACGAGGGGGGGGG